TAATACGATCCTCTGGCTCGGCGTTTATTCTTTCCGGATCGTTCTGAATGGCTCGACCCTGTATATATCGAACATTGTGAAGGATACACGACACCCCTGTGTAACGAGATACCGGCCGCGGCCGGTGCGAGAGGGATGAGATGGAGGAAGATGATGAAGAAGAAGATCTGTGTTCTGGTTTATAAAAATTACTGCTGGAACATATCCTTGAAAGCCGAAACCGCGGGAACGCCGGCGCCCATACGTCACGCCGCTGACACGCTAATACTTCGCGTTAACACGTTAACAAGAGCACAAGGCGATGAACGATTTATTCGTTCTTTCATTATTTTGTTCTGTCAAATTTCCGTTGAGCAGTAACTGACTTATTAAGATGACCTACGACGAACTTTTTGCTCTTACATTAGATTCTAAACGATCTAGGAAAGCTCATTGTTAGTCAAAATCAATTGTACGAAATTCTTACGAAAATAATTATTATTTTAAATATTATTCGTATAATATTATTAGACTTCACAGTTCTGATAGACTTATAGCCATATATAAGAATGGCGTTCCGCAAATTTTGTTTTTTGAAAGAAGGATTTTCTGCACTCTGCCCATCATACGAACTTGCCGAGAACCCATTGCATTAGAGTGATACCGACAAAAATAAATCGATTGCCTCACCGCGCTCTGTTTGTGCATTGCGGCGCAATCTTAATAGAAGCGCGTGCACATACGTCCTTCCGCCTCTGAAGGAACCCCAGTAGCCGTTTAGAAACCAATGAGCTTCTAATGAAGGTGGAGCTTGCGACGGAAATCTCCACCTACTCTTAAAACGCTCTATTTCCCTCCGCTCGTCGACGACGAGCGACACAGCACGAGCCGAGAGGAGATCGCGGAGAACGCGAGAAAACACGATCAGAGAGGAAGAGAGCGAGAAAGAGAGACGGAGGTGGAGAGCCGATGAGGACCTTTAAGTACGTCTTAACTCGGTCCAAGTCAGTTGGCATCTCGGCTGCCCCGAGAGCAAAATGACGCCGTCGTTTTCGAGCGGGATCTCCGCGCGATCAGATTGACGCTCCGATCGGCGCGTTTGTAACACGCCGCGCCGCTGTAACTCCGACGTGCATGAGGAATTGCGGTAGACTCCGCGCAGTTATTATTGTTGTGCTTAACGTAAATTGGAATCTGTAACGGACGTGTATTGATTAAGTTCGCAAGTGAATAGAAAACTTTCGCCGAGTTTGCTTTATGAGATATAGAAGTTGGTCCAGAGCGGAAGCTTGGCGAGAGAGCGTGAGCAAAAGGGGGGATCGGCGTGCACCAGGTATACGTTCGGGGAAACTTTATGGTCGAACTTAGGAGGCATAAGATACTGTAACGGACTTGATCAAAGCTCGGCCGAAGTTGCGGGAGTAAAAGTTACGTTGATTGAAAAGCGCCGATCTGAAACTTCAACCGTGCCGTAAAATTCCAGAATTCCGGAAACCTCGTAATTTTGCACAATAGTGAAAACGAGAATGACTTCTAATCGTTAAATTTAAATTTCGGTATGGATTTCTATAAATATACCGCAATTAAATATTAAGCGTTAATAAACCGCATAGAATGCGACATCATTATTAATTACAAAATTACAGTTATCTTTCTGACTTTTATTTTCATTCGATTTTATCGATATATCTTATTATCATAAAAATTAGCGAGCGAAAAGAAACAAAGAAAAACATCGAGAATAATGTATCTGTAATCGGTGATCAAAGCTGAGGTCAAATCGTGATCGTCGTCGCGCGATAAAATGCCAATTGGCGGGTACCGCAGTTTAAGGGTTAATAAGCTTAATCGACACTCGATAAGAATCGCCTCAGCTAGGTCATTGGTAGCCTAACACAAAATTCAAGTACGTCACGAGATTTTTCGGAAATCGATTATTGTTCGAGAGAAATTCAGTTGTACGTGTACGTGCATATATAATTTTTTTATAAATATGATAATGTTATTTTTATATTATATTTAATATTTATGTATATTAGAAATGTGCGCGGTATATTTAATTCGATCAACAATATTAAGTAACAAAAAAAAAATTATAAAAACTTATCGATTCGAGAGAGATCAAAGATCTATATGTTCTAATAGTAATTAGGCCAGGGACTTTTCCAGGTAAAAATTATCGTCCTAATTATTATTCGGGCACCCGGATGCGAGCCCGACGATCAGAAGCCGCGCGACGAATCGTAATTGAATCGGGACGCGTGCGCGGATTTTAACCGCCTGATTACGCTCATAAATATCGAAATTAGCATATTTTCCGACAGCGAGAAAACCAGATGAATTTCACTTGAATATACAGCGAGACGCGCGTAGCGAATCGGAAATTGGCCGACGGACGTGTATTAACATGTATCTCTTCTCTCGTAGAATTATCGCGATAAAGCGCGCGCCTGTGACAAGGATAATTTGCAAAGAGATAATTCAATTCGCATTGTCGTATTCTTGCGGTTGAGATTTTAGAGATAATTTTAGAATTATCGATTGCAGTTGATTAATAAAATAACAATTTATAATTAATACAGAATAAAAGGAGGTATGCATATATAACAATATAATTTATATATTAATATATATAATTTATATATTAATGTTAACAGTGATGCCGAAGGTTTTCATTCCTTTCTGTTGCATATATTTTGTTAATTACTTCCCTCACCAGATGTTTTTTAAGAAAACTGTCTGTAAAGGTGTTACTTTTCATTATACTTTTGTTTTACTTCAAGTATTAATTGAATTAAAATGCGTTCTCTTGAAACATATTTGTTTACTTGCACCTTTTTAATTACCATTACACATTTTCTGTTATACCAATATAATTTTACATTCATGAAAAGTGCTTAAACTGCCAAGAACATATTTCATCGTGAAAACGATATTAAATTATTGTACTTTGTCAACATGTATTTGCGTCTACATAAGAGTCGGTTAAATTTTGCAAGACGGATATATTAAGAGAGAATTATTTATATACGGTTCAAGTATGAACGAGTTTCGAACAGTCTGCGAACACTTTGCAACCGCTGGCACGTGGCCCTAATTGCACCGTCACGCTCGAGCTCGAAAATGCTTTAATTAACATTTCCCGAGACAAATTACGCATAAACGTGCCGGTTCCGTTCGCATATCCCGCGCAGCCATAAATAATCATCGTTTAACGATCGCATACGTTAAATCGATGAAACCTTTTATCCGGAGAGTTTTTCGTTTAAGGGATTCAATGTACTAACTTAATGTGTAGTATATATATTTTTATTTTTATTTAAAGCAATTATAATCATAACTCAGAGAAGATTTGTATTAATTTTCTCGAATTTTCAGTTTCAAGAAATTGAATTAATTTTAAATTAATTTTTTGATTGAATTGCTCCTCATTGAATCAATTATCAATTTTGCCGCTAGATTTCTGGTTTGTTCACATTATGAATAGACCTAGATTTTAATACGTCACATCTCTATTTAGTGCCACTCTTAGTGCTAAATGCGGACGCCCAATTCCAAATTTTAATCGTCCGATACGAAGATTGCGTTCAGGGTCAACGTGAGATAAATAGCGTTACCCGATTTAACGTTAAACGTGTGGCGAGAATACACGCTACAATCAAGCCAATTCGCGAATATTGTTACAGTAAAATATGACTGTAATTCATAATGTCGATCGCTGCAATTTCGATGTCACATTTTATATAAATAGCGTCTCAGATGGAAAAAGATTGCAAATTCGCTAAAAATAAAAGAGAGGAAAGAGAAGAAGAAATTATTACATTGTACAACTCTGATTTTTAGGATAATCGATTAATTTCGTTGAGAATATGATATAAATTATTGTGTCATTATTATCAATATTAATAATATTAATCTATATTATATTATTAATATATTGATAATAATGACGTAATAATTTATGACATTCTTATAACGCAATTAATCGATTACATCTAAAAAAATCAGAGAGTTGTACGATTTATATTATAATGCATGGAAGATATTCTTGGGAAGGAAAACTCAATATTGTAAACATCTCTTTCATAAAAAATTAATTAATAAATTGATTGCAAGAAATTAATCAATATATATTTGTAATATTTCTTTTCTTTTATTTTTTTGTCTTATTAAAAAATACAGTCATGGATGAATAAACAGATAGAAATTGGAGTTGGAAAAATATTACTGCCTTTGCGTTACTCACATAAACTTAAAAGGGTTCCTCGCAATGCCGCAGGGTCCGTCCTTTAGCTTTATTACTATATATACATCTGTTGAAAATTCGTTTGATATCGTGCTAAAATAATAGCACGTGGACGTACAATATCGCTTCTCTCATAATATTTACACTGTAAACCGAACGCTTCACTTAAATATCATTCGAAATAGAAACAATAGAAACGTGTATTTCAACACGTATCTCGGATTCATCTCGCACACAATTTACACGCATTCGCGAATTGGCTCGTCCAGATTATCTTCTTGCATTTTGAATTTCCACTACAATTCCGAGCCTCGCTAATATTAAGTTTCTGGCTGATATTTTGAGATCCCGGCTGAATAATCATGTCGCGTGAAATTAAACCGCGAGTCCGGTCGCGGCTTCGTTTCGAAACGGATTACATCGCGTTCCGATGGCGCGGCACAGTGCAATTCGTCGTTAATAAATTAAATGGCAATAGTAAAAGATACAACATTGTATTGTTAAGTCGAATATAATTGTGTAAACGCATTGGTGTTCCACGAAGGAATTTCGTTCTTGTTCGCAGGTGAAATTCCATCTCGCGAAATTGAGACGATGCTCGCGTCGACGCGGCCGATGATATAAATACGCGGGAAGCGAAGGATGTGTTAAAAAATTGAAGAGACCCCGCGAGAGAGAGAGAGAGAAAAGCTGAGAACTTGGCAATGGGATCGTATTGATTGTCATGCTGGCGTGAGGGAAAGTGCGCCGCGGAAGAGAGCGCGGGAGAAAAAAAATGTTAGCCACGACGGACGCGGAGCAGGGCGCGAACAACGGCGTGATAGTGTCGCAGCTCGCGAATTCGCACACCCCGCAGGACTTCACGGTCTCACGACTGCTGTCCACGCCGACGCACTCCTTGGGTAAGGAAATATACGAAAGTAATACTTTATACCGACGTGCAAGATGGCACGTTATTTAATTATCCGATTAATTATTATTGATTAATTCTCCATGATAAAGCTTTTAAGCTTCTTTGGCATTAATTTGCAAGTTAGAAACCGCGAATTACTATTTCCTCGTATTTTCCATCCCTAATTATTCGAAAATAACGAAAATACTCGATATTATCACGTTGTAGCTAGAATTTCATTACAATTATAATTTTATGAAGTTGCATTGTACATATATTATATTCGCAATTCACTTAAATGTGGAATTTTACGGGATATGGAAAACGCATTACTGGCATGAGAACGCAGCATCCATTGCGGATGATTTAATCGCGTCCCTTCGCATTTAATTCGCGGTTCACGACGCACTTGATTTCATCGAAATCGCGCATTTCCAGTCATGCTGCTCGCATTATGCCGCTTTGATGAATGCCCAAGTATAGTGGAGTCATTCAAAGAATGGCCGCGGCTGTTAGTCGAACCGCGCGCGCGCGTTCCTTTTTTTCCGTTTTCCTTTTTTTTTTTTTACGGTACAGGCCGCCGGTATCGCGAGCGGCATCTTCGAGACCGCACGTTTCGCTGTGCGATAGAGACCATCGAGAAAAATAATTTCGCATTCTTCTCGCGGAGCAACGCTTTTTACGCGCGCGAAAAGTACAGAACTCTAAATAAGATTGACGTTCGTTTCACGAATGAATATTTCTATTATGCCAGAAATGACACGGTTTCCGATACGTTTCTCATCGAACTTAATTAAAGCGAAATTAAATTAATTATAGCAAAAAACCAGAAAATTTTCAATCTCAAAAAGCTATACAATATTATTCACTAATAAGCTATACAATATCATTCAATAATAATAGAAATTATAATATCATATTAAAAAAAGTACAAATGCTTAAAAGAAGCGTATAATGTGCAATTAAAAAAATATGCCACTTCACAAAAAAAAAAAGAAACTTGAGATTATTTTGAAAGTCGGATTAAGAGCGAAATATTATTGATGATTATTGATTATTGCGTCTTGCAGATTGCAGCGAGACCTCGTCTGCTGCTGGGAACAGAAGACCCAGGAGAAGCAGGACGACCTTCTCGGCGCAACAGTTGGCCGCGTTAGAGAGGGTCTTCGAGAAGACGCACTATCCGGATGCCTTCATACGTGAGGAACTGGCGACCAGGGTGTCTTTGTCGGAGGCTAGAGTGCAGGTAATGTAATCTATTGCTCTCCAATACGGTAGACCGAGATAGGTATAAAAATAAAAATTCTTTTAATAAATTCATTCATTAATTTTCAATAAATATCAGATATACCAGAAATCTGTCTTACATAATATGATATTATCTTATATAACATATATATATATATTGAAGATCTAATAAAAATTCTGGCTTGAACTATTTCACTTTTTGCTCTATTCAACTTTATTTTAATATTTTTAAGTCTAATGCAGAATGAAGGGGATTGATCTTTTTAGATTATATTTATTTGTGGTATATGGAATAACGAAAGAAAGCGTACGTCATGAGTGCGATTAAGGAATTTCTTCGAGTGTTCAGATCGTCCGACAAATATTTGATGTGCATTAACAATTTCTCTTAGTACGCAATTTAATTAAATTAATGAACACATTTATGTCATAGTCTCATTCGTGTGCTTTGGGAAATTTAAACATACAGTAGAAGCGAAAGGAGCGCGTTAATATCGTTAATTGTCTCGAGAAACGTATAGCAGAATTGAAATCCAGAAAATATTAGATAAACAGAAATAGATAGTCAAATTGGGATACACCGCGAGGACATCGTTCTCAATGATGCCCGATCTCGTTCCGCCCTGCACGAGGATGATGGAACGTGGCGGAACGATAAACCGCCGCCTCGAGATGCTCACCGACCGGCTAGCCAACCAACCGACCGACCCACAGAGAGAACGAGCGGGACCGCTCTTTGAAGCTGTCTTCCACTCGGTAACCGAGAAGACTAGCTGTCCGAGAAAGTATCACGACGTGCACATGTGTTAGGCCTCTTGTACCGAAGGCAACACGACGCAGCGCGTCGTCAGTAACACACGAGGGAAAGAAAGATGAAGGAGGAGATGGAGGAGGAGGCGGCGGAAGGTGGAGGTCGCGGACAGCTAGGCAGAAAATCGGAGGAGACAGGTTGTCAGAGAGCGGAGAGAGAGAAAGATAGAGAGCTATGATTAGCCGGACGGCGCGGCGCGGCGACGCGCGCTCCAGCATCTGCGCGCTCCGGCGCGGCGCGGCGCGGCGTCGTGCGTCGGAGCACGTGTTCGCGTCGCCGTCGCCGCCGTCGCCGTCGCCAGCGGTCCATGCCGCGTACACACGTCTGTCTGCGTCGTCGGTACGCCTGCCAGGAGCCGTCACGCTGTCCCGTCTTCGGTCGGCGCGCCGCGTCCTTCCGTCGTTCCCCTCCGTCTCCACGCCGCGCCGCGCGCCGGCCGGGGCCCCGCGGGTCGAAGACGCGAGATTTTCGGAGTAACGTGAGACGGAGGAGCGTCAATAGCGTCTCGCGAAAGAGTAGATCGAGTATATATTTCTATAAACGTAAGGTTTTTCGTTAGAAGAGGTGAGATTCTCTCTGTTACGGAGAGCCGCGTTCTTCAAATCGAATTTATTTGTCTTGCTGCACGAGTGATGTCGGATGAGGAGCGTTTGCGATATAGTTGGACATGTCGGATCCATTAGATTTTCCTCGAAGATATTCCTAAAAGGCGGCCTGGCCCTTTGAGTCGGATTTATTTGAGTTATACTCTAGACACTTCATTTCGTAGAAATTCATTTGTGAGAGACAGGCGTTAGTCTTTTGAGAGATCGTATGAGAAATTCAATGAAGCGCTAATCAGTGAAACTAAATTGATAAATATATACGCAACACGTTAAACGACTAAAATTAAGAAGATCTACAAATGAGTAAACTATCATCCCCCAAAGAAACGCTGAAATACGTAGGCACTTTGAGGAGCGTAATCCTTTGAGTCAATTAAATTTATTTATAGCAAATTTACTTACAATTAGCGTTAGACACATTTTCGACAATACCTACTAAATACGCATTCAATTTTCCTAATTCATTTTAAAAAATTATTTCTTTGTTGTCGCACGAATATAGAAATATAAAATCGCAATATTACTCTCGAAATTTTATCAAATTTTTATTCGTTTTTAGGTAAGGTTTATTTTTAGAAATAGCAGATATCCTGAGTTTTTCTTTTGCCATTTATTAGAGCAGCATTGATCGCGCATAAAAGCGCGATTATTTTATTCGTGTGCAGTTTGTTTCACTTTCCATTTCTGTCAATTCGAAAGGATCGTAAAAATCGACGACGGAAATAAGAGCAAAAACTTTACGTCGTTTCTTCTATGCAGGTGTGGTTCCAGAACAGGCGGGCGAAGTTCCGGCGGAACGAGCGGAGCTCGGCGATGAGCCGTGGCGTCTCCACGGGCAGGGAGATGGAAGCCGCGCTGCCGCTGCGGCCCATCAGGGTGTCGCATCCTCCGCAGCATCCGGCGGAGAGCAGCGCGGAATCGTCGTCGCAGGGCGCAGCTGCCACCACCCAGGTGACGGCGCAGTATTCCTACGGCGACTACTGGCGAACGACGCCGCAGCACTACGCGGTGCAGACCGCCGCGACCGCCGGCTGCCACGGCTACGCCGCGAACGGCGGCCTGGCGAACGTGGGCCTGCCGTCGTACCATCATCATCAGGCCGACATCCACCACGGCACCCTCGACGGGGCCGCCGGCCTGAACGCCCTGAGGCTACGAGCGCATCCCTACGGCTCGACGTACCCAGCGATGCACGCGAGTATGTGACACCGGTCCTCGACTGGAAAATCGAACCTTCACGAACGCGAGAACGTAACGCTGTAGGCCTCTGAAAAATGTAAGTTAGATCGAGAAGAATTTAAGCCTCCGAGATCGGACTTAAATCGTAAAAGAGCGACACTTTTGATTCGAAGGAAAAAAAATGTATAAAAAGATCTTTTTTTTTTCAAGTATAAGACTTACAAGTTATAAGTCACGTGAGTGCCGTGCGCGCGGTGGAACCATTTCGTAGGAATTAATTCCTCGCGATCTCCTCCGTTTCGGCAACTGATTCTCCATTTATAAATTCGCACATCGAAGACTGGAATATTTATTACGATTTTATTAATGATTTTCTTTTCTCCGGGGTTTGAATTATTTCAATGTTATTTTGGAGGTTTGCGATATGACGCAAACGAGCGAAGAATTTATCGGAATATTTATTGTAAAAGTGACCAGAAAGTTTCGCTCGCGAATCGTCCAAGCCAAAGATAACTGTTACAAATAAATTTAAAATCGTAGTCGATTTAAGATATGATCTCGCGCAGCATCGGGCATCCCTGGGGGCTACGTGCAAAAGGGATAATTCGGATGTTTTGACGAATTATCGCTGTAAAAGTCCAACGTTGATCGTGTGCCTTGTAACCAATGATAATGATTAACTGATTAGATTTAGGTTTAAGCTGTAAGTTTCTGAACACACAGGGTAACGAGTAAATAAGTCATAGCGCTTCTTCTTCTTCCCGTCGATATAAAGTAGCACAGTTAAGTTATATGAGGAAATATATTAGAACATCGCAATATTTTAAGTACAGGATATACAGAAAAATGGTATTTCTACACGAAGTTACGGTCTTAACACAGACATATGTAGACGGTATAGATAAAGACAACGTGGTGTGCAATAAAAACATTGAGATCGGAGGACATCTTCGGGTATGTTTTCTCATTGAGATAGATATATGTATATATATATATAATCAGAAAAGTACGCAACATATAGATATATGTAACAAATACATGTATATATGTACACATATCGAAATATATATTGGCACGGGATTAGAATATAAGTCAACCGGTACATATTGATCGTATTCGTATTTTGTCTCACTCTTGGAATGCGTTATTCTCAACCCTCAGCAGATACTACGGATACTTTTCTTAAATCTCTTGATATAAAACGTTGGTATAACTGAAGGAAAGTGTAAATAATGCGAGACCTGACGTTCGCAAAGTGATATGATTAAATTGTTTCTTTTAATAGATTTTTTTTTAATTTGAACGATATTTTTTACATGGAATGAACTTAAAATTTAACAGCTTAAAAAGATACATGTATATCTGCCGAGGGTTAAATATCAATGTGTACAATCAATCATTTTGGACCATAATGATATTATAATTTAACAAGACAAACATTTAAAAGACATCAAAAGGATACCTACAAGGCATCCAAAACGTTATAGCGTCTCTAAAAAGTATTCGACGCTTTTTTTAACATCTTCCTGACTTGTATTGCCTTGGTAAGTATATCAACCTTTGAAAAATTTCATCATCGAATATAAAATTCAACATTTCCATCTTCATAAATTCATTCAAGATTGATTGCTTTGGTACATTTCCAACGTAGTATTTCTTACACCGTGCCTCAGTACTATACCGTTACCTGAACGTTCTGCACAACGTTGCTCCAGTCGAGCTTGGATGGCACCAGATAAAACGCCGGCGCGATCTTACTGCCGCAGGGACACTGGCTGCCGGCGATCCAGCTGTACGAGCCGAGCTTCGTGTTGCATTTGGGGCAATTCAATTTGCCCTCGACGTTGTGCGTGATGTCGGGCATCCAGGCCAACGGTTCCACGAAGTAGATCTTGTCGCAGAGCTCGACCCGCGCCGACTCGTCTCTCCTCTGGATGACCAATTTGTCACAGTTCTCGCCGTCCTTGGCGCTTTTGGCACTGATATGCCGCCAGATCTGCCGCTCGCGCGGCGCATGGGGCAAAATGTTGCTGGCGCTCGCGACGATGCGACGGCACTTCTTGCAGCGGTAAACCGACGGCTCGGGGCGGACGGTCGTAAGGGCGGGATCCGGCCTCACCAGGTCGACGCAGCTCTGGGGGAGGATGCGCGCCTTGCGCACCTTGTCGGCGGCGATCTGCAAGCGATACATCTTGAACTGCACGTTGGTGCTGTCGACGCCGTGGCCCATCTCCTCGTAGAGCCGCAGCTGCGCCACGAAGCCGGGGTTCGGCGCGACGAAGCGGCGCTTCGACTTCACCACTTGGAGCGCGTCCACGAAGCTCAGCTCGCGCTTCTTCATCACGTACGCGATCACCACGGTGGCGGATCGCGACACGCCGAAGTAACAGTGCACCAGCACCCTGCCGTCGGACTCGAGGGCGCGATCGATGAAATCGTACGAGTCCTCGAAGTGCGTCAGCAGATCTTCCCGCGGCATGTCCGTCACTTGGATGTACTTTACGCTTAAATTCGGCAGACGTTCCTGGATCTTTCTTGGCAACGGACAGGAGTCTATTGTTAGTATATGAGTTATTCCAGCCTTCTTCAGCCAGTCGACGTCCGTGGCGGCCGTGAGATTGCCCAGGAACAAGCCCGGCTCGATCTCATCGAAGCTACACGGACCGGCGTCAAAATCCTCTCTTGTCAACTTACTCGCGTCTTCCTGCGCCATGCTCAGCACTCTGTAATCATGAGCGAAGCTACGGAGGGTATTTCTGAACCTGTAGTCTAACAAGATTGCTATCTACACCTTCGTCATTCATAATTTCATTATTAAGCATCCAAAACAGATTGCAAATCAAATTATTATGACGCATTCTACACACTGACAAATAATATTGACATTTATAATAATTCGAAAAGGAACAAAGTGGAAGCTTAAAAAGTGGAAGTGAATTTTTACACGTTCAGTTCTATCCTAATGGTAGTTAATTTTTATTCCGTATATTTACATGAAATATAATCGATATAAAGATAAATATGTATATATGATATTAAGAATATTCCTAAATAAAATATTGACAAGATATAATTTAAATCAACAAAGGTGAATTGTCAACAGCTGATTGCCAGCAGAAACTGAGTAGAATCTGTCATTTCGTAATCATTTAGACGGAATATCATTTTTACAATCTCAATTCGCAAAACCTGATAATACGCTAACTAATTCTGTTATATTTCTGCGTATATTTTACATTAAATATAATCGATATAAAGCTGACCAAATATATGTATGATATTAAGTATATTTCTAAATAAAATATTGACAAGATATAACTTAAATCAACAAAGGTGAATTGTCAACAGCTGATTGCCAGGAGAAACTGAGTAGAATCTGTCATTTCGTAATCATTTAGACGGAATATCATTTTTGCAGTCTCAATTCGCAGAACCTCACGCTAGCAAATTATTATATTTCTGCTTGCTTCCGACAAGAGATTCGTCAGTAGACACTTTGCAAAGTCTACTTTCAACAGATTCGGAGAGCTATCTAAAAGGGATGTGTCGGGAGATCTGACGAGGCAGCGCTAAACACGTGATTGGGACTGGTGCACAGTAATTGGCTGTCACAACAGACAAGAGCGACGAAATCAATCGATGGAGTAAAACGTAAAATGAACTTGCCTGGGCAAAGAAAAGGTTACCCTTCTCGGCAAAAATATACGATATAAACGGCCATCGGGTCTATTTGGAGAAACATGCCTTGCGTTACGGGAGGATTACACGTCGTTTGACTTGCAGCAACTCACTTGGTGCTCTCGACTCGAGAGTGCGTCCCCGGACAACGACAAAACAAAAACGACACACGCGCGCGATTATTCCACCTGCTGCTGGCGGTCCGTACTCCGTAGACGGGGCGTAGAAAACGGCCGGGCGATCAATTCGATCGAATGTCAAATCATCTTCAGGAATCTTCGGGGCCCGCGCAACGGGCGTCGATGATGCTTGATCGCGAAATATCGCCACTACCCAACATTATTGTCGTCGAAAGGTAACAATTTTTCAAAATCAGCTGTGCACCCCGTCACATCACTCGTTCGGCGTGCTCGAGAATAGGCCTGCCTGCTGGCCACTAGTGCCGGCGAGAGAATGCGAGGGGAGCGAGGTTGGCAGCACTGAAAGTTATCGCTGCAGTGCTGCTGCTGCGTTTCCATGTGCGAATGACGTCACGCCCCCCCCCCTCCCCTGTCCTCCTCGCCGTCGTGCTGCGCACGCGGAAAAAGTGAGGTTAGGTTAGGTTAAGGCGTGCGAGTGATCGTGCGAGTCCAGACTCCAGCTGGCGAGGCGTACAACGACGGGCCGCGGAGGAGACGAACGGACGACCGACGGCGACGATGTCGGGCAAAATCAAGAGCAGGAACGGCGACGCGATCGAGAATGGAGCGGCCGACGACGTCGCGGCGAAGATCGCGGACGTGGAGCTCGACGTGGGGGAGACGCCGAGCAAGAAGCTGACGCACAAGGAGAAGAAGAAGCTGAAGAAGCAGCAGGAGTACGAGCGGACGATGGAGATGCTGACGAGGGCGGGCGGGCAGGGCCACAGCGAGCTCGAGTCCAACTTCACGATCTCGCAGAGCCAGACGCAGCAGCGCAGCAATCAGCAGCTGGACAACGCGGTCGACATCAAGGTGGAGAACTTCAGCATCGCGGCCAAGGGCAAGGAGCTCTTCACCAACGCCAGCCTGATCATCGCGCAGGGCAGGCGGTACGGACTTGTGGGACCGAACGGGTACGCTCTCGTTTTGTTTTTCGTATCCAATGGACTATGTAGAGATCTAAGTTGCTTACTTATATAAAGTAGGGCTGTTACTTTTTGCTCACTTTGAATATTTCAAGCTTCGAAGGAATTCGAAGCCTCGACGTTAACTTCGACCTTTCGAAGTTTAAGGTGCCTTCGAAGCTTCGAAGTTTCGAAGTTTTGAAAAATACAAAATTTTAAAGTTTTAAAAATTCGAATTTTCTTTATTAGTTTTATCGATCATTATCTTTCTTTGTTTACACATGTATCCAGTTTAATTATTAATTTGTGACATTTCAAGTTGTAATACTTTCAAATTTTTCAGGAATAATTTCGTATATATATTAATTCTTTTTATTTACAATATTTGTAAATTTTCTGAATAAATTTATCATTTGCACGAATGTATTTTTCGAAATTTCGAAACTTCGAAGGCACTTTAAACTTCGAAGCTTCGAAAGAATTCAAAGATTTTAATGTCGAAGCCTTCGAAGCAAATCACCAGCCCTGTAAAACACGTTAGTGACATGTTAAATGACGATTATCAAAAGACTCGTAAAACTTAAGGAGTTTTCGCTATTCATGTCTTACATTTTGCAATTTAGCGATTTTTGCAAGTAGATTTTGATTTCATAATCAATTTTCTTGATGTTTAATTTTCCTAGAAATAAGTTTGCTGAAAAGTTGCGTTGTGTCAGAGTTATGTATAAAAATATTCAAAGATCGAAAACCCTAATATAGTTTATATGTACAAAAATATATAGAGAGAGTATATATAGCCCTCAGATTAAATATTTTATAGATATCATTGTGTCATGATATAAATTTACTTATATAACATTGTGGAAATTATATATTTTATAAAAATGGTAACATTTCCTATGAAAAGTATGTCACATTTGATATTGTTTTTTATTCGCAGTCACGGCAAAACTACCTTGCTCCGCCATATAGCCAAAAGAGCCTTTAATATCCCACCTACGATAGATGTCCTGTATTGTGAACAAGAGGTCATAGCGGACGACACTCCGGCTGTAGAAGTGGTGCTCAATGCTGATGTGAAGTGCATAGAGCTTCAGGCGGAATGCAAGAAGTTGGAGGAGTTGACGGAGCAAGGGGACACCACTGTGCAGAACAGATTGCAGGAGGTAATCATCTTTATGAAACTTTGAATTTTTTTTCTCTAGAAAATAATTGCTAAGCTATAGGACAGTTATAATCTGTAATTCTGTTATCCATCCCAGTTTCCCGTTCTGTGTTTTTGACACCATCTCTCTTTGAAGAAAATTACAGCTATATATTGAAAACTTGGATATAATATGATTTATATGCCACTTTCAGGTGTACGACGAGTTGAAGGCCATTGGAGCGGACTCGGCGGAGCCGCGAGCCAGGCGGATCCTCGCCGGTTTGGGATTCAACCGTGCGATGCAGAATCGCGCGACGAAGAACTTCTCCGGCGGTTGGCGAATGCGTGTTTCGCTCGCGCGGGCGCTCTTCTTGGAGCCCACGCTGTTGCTGCTGGACGAACCTACGAATCATTTGGATTTGAACGCGGTCATCTGGCTGGACAACTACTTGCAAGGCTGGAAGAAGACTCTGCTGGTCGTGTCGCACGACCAGAGCTTCCTGGACAACGTGTGCACGGACGTGATACACTTGGATCAGCAGAAGTTGTACTATTACAAGGGAAATTACAGCATGTTCAAAAAGATGTACGTGCAGAAGAGGAAGGAAATGGTGAAGGCATACGAGAAGCAGGAGAAGCGCCTGAAGGATCTTAAAGCGGCCGGACAGAGTAAGAAGCAGGCCGAGAAGAAGCAGAAGGAGGCGCTCACGAGGAAGCAAGAGAAGAATCGAACGAAAATGCAGAAACAGGAGGAGGATACTGGGCCCACGGAATTGCTGCAAAGACCGCGGGAGTATATCGTGAAATTCAGCTTTCCCGATCCTCCACCGTTGCAACCTCCAATTCTTGGTCTTCAAAGTATGTAATTAATTTTTCTTCCACATAAATTAAGACTTAAGAAGGAAAAATATAAATTGAATTTTTTTGTATATTCAATTTCTCGCAGATGTAACATTCGGGTACGAAGGACAGAAACCGTTGTTCATCGACGCGGACTTCGGTATAGACCTAAGTTCTCGAGTAGCAATACTGGGTCCTAACGGCGTCGGTAAATCTACCTTCCTGAAGTTACTAATGAGCGACATAACTCCTCTGAAGGGCGAAATCACGAAGAATCACCGACTGGTAAGTGCAAGGGATCCACATGTCTGTTAAATAACAAATCATGCTTTCGTCATTCTACAAACTCGATTGCTCAATCCACAAAGTAATTAAGATATTTCTTAAAAATATTTTCAATCATTAGTATTTTCTTATTTGTCGATCTCCAATTCGCAAAGTCGCAGTGTTACGAGATTTGTTGGAATATTTTCCAACTAGAATTTCTTATCGTATACATAGAGTAACAGGAAATCGAATACAAATCTTTCGTTTAATAGGCGACTGCTCTAGCATCTTATTTTAATGTCTTATCTTAATATTTACATCGCATACGATCTATTATGTTAATTTACAGAGGATAGGAAGGTTCGACCAGCACTCTGGCGAGCACTTAACTGCCGAGGAGACCCCGGCGGAATATCTGATGCGACTATTCGATCTTCCATACGAGAAGGCGCGCAAGCAGCTGGGCACTTTTGGCCTCAGCTCGCACGCGCACACCATCAAGATGAAGGACCTGTCGGGCGGCCAGAAGGCGCGCGTTGCGTTGGCCGAGCTCTGTCTGAACGCGCCGGACGTGCTGATCCTGGACGAGCCGACCAACAACCTCGACATCGAGTCCATCGACGCGCTGGCGGACGCCATCAACGAGTACAAGGGCGGCGTTATCATCGTCTCGCACGACGAACGGCTGATTCGCGATACGGAATGCTGTCTCTACGTGATCGAGAATCAGCAGATCAATGCCATCGACGGCGATTTCGACGACTATAGGAAAGAATTGCTCGAGAGCCTGGGAGAGGTCATCAACAATCCCAGCATAGCCGCGAACGCTGCCGTTCTACAATAATCGTCGTATTACCAATTAGCGTAATTGACATCTTGGTGGCCTGTAATAATGTGCAAAAAGCGATCATTGGATTGCGATCGAAGCCTTCGTACGGACGCCCGTTTGCCCTAACAGCTCCGGATCCAGATTTTGTATTATAAATATCTTGCAGACCGAATGTAAAAAAAAAATAAATTGTTAATAACACGGAGTTTAGGTTATTTTTTTTTTTAATCGGTCCAAGATTGCTCTCTTCTATCGATATATAATCTATTATCTCTCTTTCGAGGTGCGTTCACAAGATTTACAAGTTGATAGCTAATTGATAGCCGCGTTGCAATAAGCTTGTCCTTTTTAGCTTCTTGTACGGTTTATCATTCCTCTTTTTCTCTATGTTGGAGAAAAAAAAAGAAAAGATGAGCCATGCAAGAAGTTAATTTAAAAAGAATAAGTGAATTGTTTATAAGATTTTTTTCGAATAATCTTAAGATCTATCCTAAGATTTATTATTGCTAGAATTTTTTATACATTTCCTTTTTCTCATTAATTACACATTATCTTCATTTTAAATACAAAAAGAAATAACAGTACAGCTGTGAATGACAGGCCTATAATGTACGAAATACTGGTCTTAAATACATATACAATACGTGCTTTTAGAGCGCTCAAAATCGGCGCAACTCACGTGACAAAGAGTGTGCCTCGGCTGCACCTTCTACTGCTTCTCTCCTTTTCCCTCCAACGCTTAATTATATGTCTGTCTCATATCAAGTACAAACCGTGTGGACAGTGCAGAGAAACAGATTCGAGGTGTTATAACGCCAAGTCTATAATCTATATACGTATCTTCTCCCTCTCTGAATCACTGCTGCACTGCACTGACCACTAACCCCAACGGAGAAAATTCTAAAAGATTTGGGCAGCCGGTCTACTCTGTTTTGACTCATTTTGCAGCCTCTTGCATTTTGCGGAAAAGTGATCTTTGGAGATCAGTTCGGTAACACCCATTACGTCCCGGTATTGATACACATTACGTAAAATCTAGCAACATTCTGAAGTCAACAACAATGGCAACGAAGGCCGACGAGGTGAATATTATCATTATCTCAATTTTCAATTACACACTTTTTTTGCACTTGTATGCATGTAAAGTGAGATCCGATTTATACTCACATTTCGAAAGAGAAAAAAGGGGACAAAATATGATTATAAATTGAGTTTGGCACGTTAAATAGTGCTATAATTCGGAGCCCGTTTCTTGATACATGATTGAAAAAAATTCTTTGGAATGTAACATCGATAACATAAGAACTGTTTAAAAAAATGTACTACATGTTATGAATGGCAATTTTAAAGAAAATATGAGAAAGACCTTTAAGAGATTATTGCAGATTTAATTTAACTTAACCATTTCTTTGCTAGATGAAGTGTTTTATTTTAGCAATATTTTAATATTCTTCTCCACAGATGAAATTGGATATCGAGGAACTCAACAGGTTACTCGAGCAGGCCAAGAGACAACGAATCAAAGATACATTAACGCTGGAAATTAGGAAGCTGCAGACGGAGATGGCAAAGTTACAGGAACAGAAAGGTACATCCGCGACAACTCCTTCGCTCAACACTGCCCAAAAGTGCTACGAGGTGAAACTGAACAACTACGGGTGGGACCAGACGAAAGGGACGATGAAGATTTACATAACGCTGAGCAACGTTCATCAGCTGCCCAAGGAAGCCGTCGTCTGTAATTTCACAGAGAGATCTCTGGATCTGCGCGTACTCGGGCTGGAAAACAAAAATTATCACTTGCCGATTAACAATCTGTGCGCGGAGATCGACACCGAGAAGAGTGACTTTAAAGTGAAGACCGACATGATCGTCGTGTCGCTCGTGAAGAAGGTCGCAAAGGATTGGTCGCACGTCACGTTGGTGGAGAAGAGAATCAAGGACGCCAAGTCGCCGTCCATGCCCGAGCTGGGCGAGGACAGCGATCCCAGCGCCAGCCTGATGAATCTTATGAAGAAGATGTATCAGGACGGTGACGACGAGATGAAGAAAACGATAGCGAAGGCGTGGACCGAGAGCCAGGAGAAACAGAGGATGGACAATGCGACGTTGAACTTGTAATTTCAGTATCGATCTAATCTAAATACGTTTTATGTATTTCTTTTTTTTTTTTTTTTTGATACGTTAAGAAGGTAGTATGTAATAAGTGTAAATTCTAGAATAATGCTCAAGAAAACGAGAATATAGAAAAGCATACATATTTGTCCTTACTTCGCCGTAAAGAGAGTAAATAATGGCATTGATGTAACTACAAGTTTTCAATCTTAAGCAGATTAAGAAAAGTTTCTTTAACCTAATTGCAAAATTGAAGAAAATAAAAATTCAGATATTTTATTCTTGCAAGCAATTATATGATTTACGAGTATACAATAAAAATATATTCAGTTATGAATTAATCAATTATTTTTATATAATTTAAAAATTATATTTCAAATACAATTAAAATATATAATTTTTAAATTATATAAAATAATTGATTTGTGAAATATTTTATTTCCTTTTTTTGACATGTTTATTGTTGAGGATGAATAAATATTGTTCTCTTATGTTTACGAATAGTTACACCATTGTCGCAACACTGACGTCAAACTGTTGGAAAAAATTATTCGTACTGCTAATATTTGCATTTCTTTTCGATGGATTATTTTACTTACGTCCGGTTGTATGTTGGAGAAATCAATAAAACCACACGTCCCCAATTAACTAAAATCAGGTATCTTTATTATCTGCTCTTGCAACTTTGCAAACCATTCTTTAATTTACATTGTGATTATCTTGTAATCGATGTAATATACAAAACATTCTTGAACAAGCTCGATCAACTGTGGATCTCGCTTCGCAGACAAATGAAAGATTTATTATGACATACGGGATACAACAGTTGGTTGAATTCTCTGCTGTTTGCGAATGTCATTTAATGTTCGTTAAGTTCAATCGAATACCATGGTCAATCGATTTATATTAATATTACATAATGACAAATGCACAGCCCAAGTACAAAACTCTTTGGAATAATAAGCTACGCTAGCTTTACATAACGTTCTCTCGTAAAACCATCAATCAATGCACTTGCAGTTTAAAAAAAAAAAACTCAAATCTACACTTCCGTGTCTACTTAAGAATAATGCAAAGCCTATGAAACTATCGTGCGACAGCCGTTTCTTCTCTTTTTTTTTTGCAAATTGGCACTGAGATGATAAATCTTTGGTGGACGACGTTCTCGTCAAATGTAGTATCATTGGAGATATTTGTAAGCGCGATTTTCAATGAATCGCAGATAGTCTTTACGTATCTGCAATTTAATCGTCACGCAATAAATAATTAACGCGGCACACATCAATAAATTGATAATGAAACTTATGCTATTAACTTATACTATTCTCGAGAAGGAAAACAGACGTCGACAATACTCGTAAATTCAAAAAAGAAAGTTATTTTTTTATTTCTCAGGTTTCTAAATGGCAAAAACTTCACTTCAAATTGTCTATGCACGAAATATTATTCGATTACGCTATAGAAATCGTACATACATTAGAGACGCAGCGTTAACAGCGTACGATTGAAAATTGTGCGTTTTCTTTTTATTTATCAGGAAGATAACACGCGACGCGATTCGTACGAAAGAGTTTCCGAATGTTTACTTGATTACATCTATATAATACGTTCGATTAACACGAGGTCTCGAAATTTCCAAATCCTTCGTAGATTACGTTTCTTTTCTATCGGATATCGCAATGTCGCGACGCTTTCGTGTATTAATACGTTATTATCGAAACGTCTTTTCGAGACTAAGAAATATCCGAGAAAAACGGATGTAAACAAGATTTCGCAATGGCCTATATATCTCGAGACATTTTTTTGGTCATAATATAAAAATAGTCCTGCAACTTAATCATCATGACGAATATCTTATATAATAATATATATAATAATAATAATAAATAACATAACAGCCGCAACGAGAAGAATGTACGCGGAGTCTTACATAGTCTAAAAATTACACTTAAAAAGATACATGTCACCGTATGTGTTGAACCGTTCACATTCGTAAAGTAATACAAATTAAATTTTGAAAATCAATGCGTGTTACGCATTTGTTTTGCATTTATTGTGACTAATCAGCTGCCCAAGATGGCATACGATCACGTTAACGTGAACCGTAAGCACGAAAGGACAAAGAATTTAAAAACCAAGATTACAGTTTTCCCAAAAAATGTCTTTTCGATTTACGTGACAATTAAAATTAAAAATGTGTGTTCGCGTTGATAGTTTAGGTCACATTTGACTGATCAGATAATCGAAATCTTAAAACATCTGTGTTTGTATAATACGCTAAAACATAAGCTCTCCGCTTGAGTATATCCATTTAAAAATTATAGGCTACTGAAAGTCAATATATTACTCTCATTTTAAACGAAACCAACTCTAGCATTGCTCGGATTGTGCTACGTCTATCGTGTGATCGTTGCAGCTCACAAGAAGATTGATATTTGATGCCGAATATAAACGGTAACACAATGCGGAAGTCGCGCAAACGATTGAATCATCGCGTAGATCGTTATATATTTGATCGTTGATACGCGATAGCCTGGAGTTTGCGGCCGTGAGCAAGCGTTTATGATTTCTACAGCAAACGCATTCTTTTCTCGTACAATATCAAGAGAACGAGACACCAAATGCGAAATTTGATGTCTTACATTTCTGAATCCTAGCAACGAACTCTCTTGGAAGAAAAATATAAGCGCAATTTGCGTAATGCTTTCTTGCCAACAATATTTTTTTTTGGTTCAGCTATCACTAGTGCTATCAGTCGCATTAAAAAAATGTTGCTGAGAAGATATTAGCAGAAAAACATTATGTAAACTACGCTAAACTGAACACAATCGCCATTTGGAAAATAATGTAAAAGTAAGATGTTGCCTTAATGTCCATATAGGATGCAGTATTTTTCGTCCGCGTTATATATAGACAATAGAGGAGTTACCATGCAATTAAAAGTGCAAATAAATCGTCCGAGGAATGCTCATGGACTAAAGTTCAATGTCGAAAAGATTTACCATGCATTATCGCAGTATCGCGATCGTAACTAATCGTAGGTGAAAACGTATGTACATAATTGCAGCACAATGTGATTATAATGTGCCTCGAAGATTTAATATATATTATCTTTCGATTAAAATATTATTTCTCTTATTATCTGATTATGAACAGTTATCTCGATTTACAATGACGAGTCGATTAACAACCAAAGTTTAAATTACATTTCGTACTTGAGAGGGAAATATATACCTACATTTCAGGATAGTCGCCCGAAAAAACGTTGCATTGAAATGTTTCTTCTCTTTTTAGATATTTGATATTGAAATTAAAAAAGTGCATTTCTCCTATAATTATATGTACCCTATAATCACTTTACAGACAATCATATGGAAACAAGTGGAAGCATAAAACAGACGAGTGGGAATGTACAAGCGTATCTTATACATAGCAAAGTATATCTAATGGAATTTAGTACAAACCGTCAAGTATAAACGTTAACAATGTTTCCATAATTTATATAAAAAATGCATTCTAACGAATCATATTTACAATTCGTAACTCTACGAAAAATCATGATAAACATATCGAAAGTCCTTTTTGTCTTTCTCCTTTTTCACTGCCCTCGCGTTCACGGTAAAGAGTATACCGTATGCGATTTCTCTCTTTCAAATTACATCTATTTAATTAAGAACGATATTTATAATTCGTCAGCGACGCGTGCACAACCCTTTTCTGGCTGATGTATACTTATTTTACCACGCGTATTTTTTTTTCCCTTTCGCTGCAAAATGCTTGTCTTTAAACTTAAAACGTTCGTTCTGTGCAGCAACCAAATCGTCCATAAGCTTTCACCGCGTGTCGCAAAATGACATATTGTACACCAACAATAAAGATTACTCGATAACTTAGTCACTAGCAACTTACTGAAGAACCGTCTAAATTCTCGCACGATTTATGCGATAACTGAATATATAAATTAAGAAATAAATTAAGAAACGAGAAGAACGTAGACGGGACACGATACAAAATTTGACGCTATCGACTTTCTCTAAGTTGGAGAGACATTAAAATAGGATATTATAAATTATAGAATATTATATGTTACCAATAACACAAGAGAACGTTAGCTGTTTGGACGCTTAGTCTTTGGTTCCCGCGTGGAGGCTTATTCGCTAATATCCTTGTAGAAGAAGTATATTCGTTCATATTTTTTTTTCTTGTTTTTTTAGAAAGACGAATTCGTTCCCAGTAATTATCATTCGTTGTACGTCTTACCGGACAGGAAGGGATTGCTGAACCTCGCGACTCGTCGCGTGAAATACCTCGCACATAGCACTTCGTGTCTTTTCCATTAACTCTTCCACGTCGTCCGTACCGAGTCCCTCAGTTGAGATGGGCGGCAATGTCGTCACGAGAATGCGTCCTTTAATTAAGTCGATTTTAAATTGCTTCTGATAATCTCGTGTAATTTTTGAGTAATTAAAAGAAATTATTTTCACAGATTGTATTCTTTCTAGAGAACAATTCTATTATTCGATGACTCATCGATAAATTCTATAATTTTTTAAAAGTCGATTTTAAACTGCTTCTGACAATCGCGTGGAATTTTTGAGTAATTAAAGATATTATTTTCACAGGTTGTATATTCTTTCTAGAGGACAATTCTATATCATTCGATAACTCCTCGATAAATTCTAATTTTTTATTCGATATATTATAAGTTAAACTACAAATAAAAAATCTTCATTGAAAACAAGGAGCATAAAATTGACGAAGTTGTTGCTATATTTTTGAAATTTTCAAGACTTTCCTTTCTTTTAATATTTTTTGAGCTTTTATACTTCCTTAAAATTCAATTCTTCAATACCTTCATTCCTAAGAATTTTCTTTTATTTTTAATATTATCGAGTTTCTGTGTCGTTTTTTTTTTTTATAGTCTTAAAGTTACTCACCGGGATCAAATCTCTTCTCTTCCGCGGATAAGAAATAATAAGAGGAGAATACGACCGGTAGTATGGGTAACTGCGACCTGATCGCGACGTGGAAGGCACCCTTCTTGAACGGATGTATCTCACCGGTGTTGTGCCTGGTGCCCTCGGGGAATATCCACAGCTTGATCTGCGAAGCATCGCGATAAACAAAACAAAAAAAAAACATAATGGAAAGCGAATGGTGGCCAACACGAATCACGCGTGACCTTTCGTTACCTTCTTATCCGCGATCTCCTTCGTGGCGGTGTTGAGGGCGGATCGCGCTTTCTCGGAGTTCATTCTGTCGATGTAAATCATACCGCATAACCAGGCGGACAGGCCGAAGGGCCACGCGTAGAAGAGCTCCTTCTTGGCGACGACGGTACATTTGTCCATCACCGGCCAAAGGTCGAACATCCCCAATACGTCGAGCGAGCTCTGGTGATTCGCCACAATTATGCAAGCCCTATCCTTCTCCAAGTGCTCCCTTCCGCGCAGTTCCCATCGCAGACCTAGCAGAGTGCTAATGTGATGGCATACCGATGACGCCAGTCTGCAAGTAGAAGAAAAAAATATCTCTCCCGCCGATACAACTTAATAAAACAATAACCAGGCATCTTCGTTTCGGATAATTTGAGACGCGTACAAGGAAGTGTAGATAAAAGGATAATTATAATTTATAAGCTTCCTTATGTGCAAATTTATCAAAAAATAACCGTTTGAAGATAAAAGGTGCCTGATTCATTGGTCAGCACTTAAATTTTATCTCTCTATATATATGTGTGTGTGTGTGTATATATTATAAGATAAGATAAATATTTATTCTATTTTCGCGCGTATAATGATTTTACGAACTATTATAAATGCGCGTGTAGAAAATGTAAATATATAAATCATGCAAATAAAACTCGTTTTTCTAATTCCTTGGTGTTGACGGAATTGCTGTGATGACGTTTCTTTATTGCCATTGATAACATGTGCTTAATCATTCGTTAATCAAAAATTACACAACACAATACAAATTTAAATTATAATATATATTTATAATATATATTTATGTAGAAAAATAATCGTGTTAAGTGGTAGTCTTTAGTTTCTTTTCTTTCATAATTCCATTCTTGCTTATATTTCTTCGATATTGATATGTTTTTGTAAGAGAATATTAAATCAGTATTCTAAAAAATTACATTTTAAGCGTAAACATTTAATTAAGCATTCACATATACATATATGTATTAAAATAGACTAATGGATGAACGAGTTGACTAATATGAATATCATTTAGATGCGACACAAACAATTTCGAGAGAAAAAAATAAAGATCTATTCTTCAATCTCTTAGATTGGACAGTTTGAATTATGGATTTACACTGTGCCGTATTTCTCTCTCTCTCTCTCTCTCTCTCTCTCATTCTCTCTGTGTAAATCAAGTTCGAAGACGCAAGTCGGTGCAACAAAACATTTATCTTATTAAACTTTGACTTGTGTATGTTTAACTCTTTGGAATTCTTTAGAAGTGTTAAAGAGCTGAAGGAATCTTTGTACTGTATACTAAATCTTTGAAATATCTATGTTTTTTTTTTTATCAAGATCTTTACTCGCTATATATGATTCAGAGAGCGAGGTTCATTTACGTCAGAAATAGTTGTTTTAAGACTGATTCAACGACTTCGTCTTTGTATTTTTGAAAGACAGCCACACAGCCAAAATCTAAAATTGACGCACGAGACGTCTTTTAGGCAAGATGTCTTTTAGGCACTTCTGCAAGAGCTATCTAAATGTTCTAAAAATCAACTAAAAAATATTGTCTGGGTGATGTCATTTGCCTGTCTTTTTTTCATTTTAAATAAATTAGAGTGAAAAGTACAGAACAGTTTGACGAAATATACATATATATTTTTTTAATACAATCAATTGATTAAAAAAACCAAATTTCAATATTCGAATCGCTTCAAATATTTAAATGCCAAAATATATTGAGGTATTGGCGTATTGCATAGATTTCAAAAATTATCCTTTCTATCTTTCGATATATTGATTACGCCGTTTAATTAATAAGGATCAAATATTAGTGCATGCAAATTCTAATAGATATAGATTCAGTGCTGATACTTGATAACATAATAAAGTACTAGACCCCAAACGGGCGTCTGGATCCGAGCAAACTAATCTAGTAAAAATATTCAATGTCAACAAGCTAAATATAGCAGCCGTTACACCGTCGGGAGTGTCGCTGATCTCCTGCACACTCGGCCAACCCTCAATAATTACTTCTATACACACTTGGGAGGCTTTTCTCGCAATTTCTACTGGCAGCCTCTACCGGTCGAGGAGACTTAAATATATCCCTTGGGCATTTGTCGTTTTATTTGTAGCGGAGAGCTCTGCCATTATTATGGGAAGCGACTCATTTTCTCCCATATGACACAGCTCCGGGGGCACAATAAGTTTAAATCCTCCCCTCTATCTCCCTCTCTCTCCCTCTCCCCCGTCTCCCATTCAGTACCAGCATCGCCGTCGTTTGTCACGATATGATACTTGCAGCAACAATCACAAACACCGCGCGCGCCGGCACCACCATCACCGCCACCCACTGGAACAAGCGGCCGGTCAATAAATTCTCGCGGCCGTCCCGGCGGCGATCTCCGTCGCGACGTCCTGTCAAAAGCTCTACCCGCGTTGCGGAGGAAAACAAAACGCGCCGCGACGAAGGTGTCGAAGGTGATGGCTGTCTCGGACGGGGAGAGAATCGGAGAAACGAGAGAGAGAGAGAGAGAGAGAGAGAGACGGGAGAGCTGGCGAGTGGGCGCGCGAACGCGCGCGACGTGTGACAACATAACAATATCGATCGATCGCGGGGAGTGTACCGTAATACCGTATACTGACACGTAGTTCTTGACGTTGCCGGGCCGCAGCGAGAGGACGGGCATGAGCAGGACCGCGTTCATCATCACGATGCTATAGTAAATGAGGAACTTCAGGTAGTAGCGGAAGGTGCGGCTGGTCTCGTACAGAAACGGCAGCACGAGGATGAAGCCGACGAGGATGACTTCGAAGCACGACGGAGCCATCTTCCGCGAGGATCCCAAGAGAGGACGACGCGAACGTGGCGCGAGAGACGACGGATTTTTCGACACGCGAACTCCTCCCCCCTTTTTTTTCCTTCCTTCCTTCCTTTTCTCTCTCCTCTTTCCTTCCGCCCGCGATTACGCTCACGCGACTTTTATTACACACGACCAGACTCGCCGCGCAGGGCACCGCCGCTCCCTCGCCCGAGAGAGAGACTTGGCGGGGCTTCCGACGACGCGATGCCACCCGACGGGATCCCTCGGAGCTGTCGCGACGCGACACGCTGCTGCGCAAGCGGAGCACTGAGTGAGGTGCCTGCCGCCCCTGCTGCCGTCCGTTCGGCGGCGAAACGTTAAACGCGCCGCGCCGTTTCGCAAAGGGGGAGAGAGACCCTCGGCGCGCGCGTTTTCTACTACCCCCTACTAGCCGCGATCACCCCGGCCTCGCGCATCCGCGCGCCAGCATGGCTGGCCTCGGCTCCGCACGGGTAAACACGAGGACGCCAATTTTCGTCGCTGAGGACACGGGTGGATTGTCCACGATGCATTAAAGCAAACGTTCGAGAAAAAAACGTTGTTTTAAACATTAATTGTATCGTCGAACGCCATACCCCTGTTGTTTTTTAAACGTAATTATAAATCGTTTGAATTATGCTTCTGCTAAGGGAAAGTTCGAACAGAGATATTCAGAGCGACAATCGAGTCGATGCCGCAGTTGTACTTTGATTTTCGATTTGATGATGAAAGTATAATTTTTCGAATGTATAGATATATAGAAGAGAATAAAAAGTTATTAGAAGCATCATGATAAAGCAATTAAACAAAACGTAAAGAGAAAGTATATATCTTCGATTGCATTCGGAGAACGCGCTATATCAGTGTTAATATGTCATCTTGCAATTAGTCCATGTGCGTACTTCACTTTTATCGATTTTACGTTTTTAAACGCGCGTTTAGCATATAGTTTACGTTACATACCTACATTATTATATAATCTCAAATAAATATTTATTTTATGATAAAAATGAGATATGAATACGGACTTTAATTTATCTTTAACGTTTATTAGAAAAGTAGAGCAAAGATAAAATGACGCTATTGTAAGCTAATAGCACATGATAAACGTATAATCCTCCTGATTTATTACCTACGTTTTTATTGAATGTTAATGGATCCAAAATGATTATTAAAAGTCATTTTTCGATTCCTGTTGACTAGAAATAAAATGAAAGCGTGCAAATACCGTGCGATGTTCGCGTTTTGATTTTTGTCAGTATAATTTCCACGGAAAGAAACTGAACATGTACCCGGTAAAAAATGTCTCAGATTTTAATTTAAGTTGTACAGCATTATACAAAATTTCGGAGAAACATATATAATTATGCATGAAAAAGTGTATATAAGACATAGTATATGATGAATAAATCAGTAAAGAAACTTCCAAGAAGCAAGGTGACATCAAATGACGTCCTATTAATACATATATATTAATATATTAAAGATATTATCAAGATCTTAGCTTGCTGCTTGGAAAGTTTTCTGATTTATTCATCATATATTATTTATAGGAATCATATCATTTTTACTTGCACGTATATATTTTATATAAGATGCAAGACTTATATATTATGTATCAAACTAAGAGAAACCCATATTTAACTACACATTTCGAACATTATACAACAAATATGCATAATGCTCATTGATATGTAATTTTATGCAGCACTTCGTCTATACATAACACATATAATATGTCCTATATACACTTTTTCATGCATAATTATACAGGTTTCTATGGACATTTTTTACCGGGTACATGTTCAGTTTCTTTCCGTGAAAATATACTGACAAGAATCAAAACGCGAACATTGCATTCATTTTATTTCTAACAGGATATAATTATACATATAATATCATATGATTCCTAATAGTATATGATAAATAAATCAGTAAGGAAACTTCCCAAGCTAGTAGGTGACATCAAAAGACGTCTTGATCATATTTATATTTAATATTAATAGGGCGTTATTGAAACGTCATTTGATATCACCTTACTACTGGGGAAGTTTCCTTACTGCAGATTATGATTGGAATATACTTATACAATTGTAATAAGTCTAAATGATGCCAATAACAGACAAATAAATACAAAATAATGTCCGTTGATAGATAAGTAGATAACCGCCAGAACAAAGCTATTTTCTTTTTTTTTTATTTTGTATTTATGTATTATCAGCAAGAAGTGTGGGCAAAGTATATTCTCATTTTTTCCCGTATCTATTTCACATTTTGTTGAAATATTTCTCTTCACGCAAAATCTAAAATACATTAATTAATTATCAATATTTAATTATTAAAATAATCAGTTTAATTAATTATAATTCTCAAATTGGTGTATATCAACTGTCGTATATGCGCGAATATTGATCGTCCGATTGAAAAAGCGACATTCCGATCGCACTTATAAATAATCAGTTAAGGCGTACGGGGAGTATCAATTGCATTCGCTGCAGTACAAATATTTTTCAGATGTGCATGTATGCATCCGATGATCAAGTATGGTCACTGATAAACATAAAATATCACAAAGCTTTTTATTCTTGCTTTGCATACGTACAACTGACGTAAACAAGATGACTAAAAGAATAGATAAACAAGAGATGACTATAAATATAGATCTCACATTCTTTTTTTTATCTTCAGTAAATAATTGTACCTTTTAGATCGCTCGAAAGAAGTGTATAATCACGCGTTATCTGGCCGTGATGTCTGGCCATGATTAATCGATTAGATATTTCAAAAATAATGTATGATAACACATAGAACATTCTAAACAGCACACTCCATCCAAGGGCTATCTAGGGAACGTCCTTAGGATGCATCCGATATATTTAGGACGTCCCTTGGAGGTATGTGTTATACGGGATAAGATATCACATGAAAATGATACTTTGTGATTTTGTTAGGATTGTAATAATAAATATATACATATATATATATATATATATATATATACATATGTATATATATACGAAATAAAAAAGAGGATTTAAGACAATCTAATTTTGTGACTTGTTCATTTTCTTTCAGTTTCCAGTCACGATTTAATCGTACCTTCGTTTTATTCCGTTTAGCGGCATCACTAATTTCGATAAGACATTAATTTATATGTAATTTTCCACATCTTTATTCTCTAACAATTATTTTATATCTTGGATTTTATTTCTGTGAGCCTACAAAATCGATACAGGAGAAGCCCTATGAAATTTAGAATGCCCGCGGTGAAGCCTCGTATACTCCGCGTGATCTCAATCTCTTTGTATCTCCTTTGGTGTTAATTCAAAAATATTCAGTTCATGAGCAAATTGCCTACGAAGAAAAAGAATTAAGGCCCTATTTGTGATGATCCGAAAAAGGAATTGCTTCTTCACTATTCTGTAATATTCCATCTTGTTCGAATGCTGATAATACGTATATATATACTTATGTATATATATATATATATATATATATATTACTGTGAATGATAGTGATCTTTAGTTGTTTTTTTATATTAGCCTTTATATTAATCTATCATGCTTTTTATCGCACAAGATGTCTATCTACGTCAATTCAATTGCTTAGGATTTTTCAGAGTTATCGCAATATTAATTAATATTAGAAAATCAGGTCTATGCACGGATTGTGTTAATTATTTCTCTGATTTTTTTAAAATTGATATTTTTGTGAAAAATCCTGATTGAATTTCTATTTATGTCTATTTTGTAAGATTTACACGCATATTAAGTATACACAATTTTGTACGCTTATCGGAGCATGTCCAAGCCGCATATTTCCTGTCTAAATATAATGACTATTGATTAATAGTATAAAGCACTGAAATGTGCATCAAACGACGTGCCGAGAAAAGTGCCGAGACACCTACTAATTTTACTTTTGTACAGTCTCGTAAAAAAATTAATTAATTTCGATTATATTCCATATAATTAATAGTGCAGGCTTAAACATTTCTATAAAAAATTATTTCTACAGCAATTTTGTGTAATATAATATATGTATTTTTTTTCATAAATTACTGAAAAAATTATGATATATATTATAATAATGAATTTGACGATGATTGTTAACTAAGGAATTTCATGTCTGCAAGAGGTGTTTATAATTTTCCAGTCAAGTTTCTTTAATAGAAAGGCGACAAATAAAATGTGATGCAATGTCCGTTAATTAAATTGATGTTTGTAAAATGGCAGTAAAAATATAAAAAAACTTGATACTTATAAAATGAGAGCAAATCTTGTACCAAAGTCACTAAGCATCTCTCTCTCTCTCTCTCTCTCTCTCTCTCTCTCTCTCTCTCTCCCCCATACACACACATCTCATCTCAATTATTAATATAATATTATTAACATAATTAATATAATTAATATATCATAAATACTCCATATAGCAACTTTATAATAACATTGTTTTAAAATTCAATATTAAAGTATCAAAATATATTGTATTGTATATACATATATTTACTATAAGAAAATTATTACTATTTTTGTTTCTTTCTATATATGTATATACATATATATAATATATATATATATCATCGGTACGTACGAATACACATGACATGCAGGACGATCGCTATACAGAAAATAGTATAAAAAATATGCACGGCATAATGACGGCAAATTAGCAATAAATATCAAGCAAAATTTATGTTATTATAATACATAATTTGATCATATCTTTTCAAAAATGTCTTTAAATGATTAGCTAGCACATTTTTTATTTTTAACGAAAATAAAGAAAGAAACAAAAAATAGTAATTTTTTTGTAGTATAATAGTATATACAATACAATACAATATTTTGATATTTTAATATTGAATTTTATAATAATGTTATTATATAAAATTAAGAGACGGGCAGACGGCCAGCCAAAGGTAAATTTCCTAAGCTAGAAGTTTCAAGTCTGTCAATTAAGTGCACCCAGGGGTAATTGAAGAACGATGACATTACCAATCGATCATTTTTGCTGTACTGAGGATAACAAACACGATTGATACATGTCCAAATCACTAATTTATTATCGACAGTGAAAAGTATACATGTTTTTTTAAATTTTTTAATTTTTGCAACGTTTGCCGTTAGATATATACGTATATGTACAGTAAACTAAGTTACAGTAAACGTACAGTAAACGAAATTAAAAAATAAACTTTACTGTTGATAATAAAATAATGATTGCAGTCTGTTATCCTCGGTACAGCCAAAATCGTTGGTAATGTCATCATTCTTTAATTACCCCCGGGCCCACCTTTTGACAGTCACAAAAATTTGCCTTTGGCCGGCCGTTTTTAAAGGCTCATCTACAATAAGAGTAGTAAATTATAAGAGATTACGTAGATACGTCGGAATTTTTAGGGCTCCTACAAGACCTGTAAATTCAAATTTCCGCAGTGATGCCACACTTGAATGCGCATGCGCGAAACATGAGCTCGTCAGTCGTCTCAGCTCAGCGTCTGCATTACTGAGCACAGTGGTGAGTGGCCGCCGGCGACCGGCGTAGTCCGAGACAGTGAATAGTGAGGCGTGGATTTGGCGCGAATGCATATTCGCATTTTTACGAGAGGCACATTACGAGCAAGGTAGGGTAGGATAAAACAAGCGAAACCTCGCGGCGGGCGAGCCGGCGAGCCACGTCTTTTCTCTCCGTTCGTAATCGAGTGCTCTCGCTCGCTTTAACTTAAATTCAGCTTTTTTTTTGTGCCTTAACTGACCGATTTTTACGTTTTCATGCAGATCTTACGGATCATTCACTCAACGTGCATCATCAGTGATTAGCGTCCATCTTATCTGCACGTGGCCTTAAGTTCATCTTGTCGGTTGCCAGAAGATTCTACGGAAGGGTCGCCGAAGAGCAAACGGAAATCCTTTCCTTTGCATGTTTCCGTCTCACTGTACGTAAGTACTTTGTGCAGAAAAGTCGAAGCTATCCCCTTTTTTTTCCTGTTTCAAACATTACTTGAACATCTTATTTCGCTTATGAGACGATTTCTCATCGGAAAGTACATTTTTTTAAAGCTTCCTTTTATAATTCTTAACACGTGCACCTTCTCTTTGTTCGTTACTCTTTTTTAAGGTTAGATTTTTTTTTTGCTTATACTCTCTTCAATTGTTAGACCGGCCTGTTATTTGCAAGGATATTTAAGATTGCGAATAAATAAATATTTGTATGAGCTTCAAATTTCAATCTTATTTCTTATGTAAGTTTCCATTTTTAAGTAAACATCTTTTAACAAAAGTCAACCACTGATCAAAGTAATATTAAAATAACAATAATTAGATCTATCAATAAGATATATAAAATCTATTCTTGAATCAGCTTTGAAACTCACAAATTTAACGTAGGAAAAGTTGATAACACATGCCAGATTTCAGGATAGAAATCTCATGTATTTTTTATTTATAACAATTTTTTTATGTTGCATTTTTTAATACAATTTTTATGCACAAAATTCAAGATATAAAATTAGATTTAATTACAGCTTTACATACTGTAAGATTGGATTACGAATACCATCTTATGTCTATAGTATTGATGTTCGATATGTACCTTTAGTTGTACATGTACCTTCAGTTTTACAAGTGTGAAAATTGAAACAATTGTTTTTGCTACAATATATAAGTAGATTATAAAAGTTTGCTATACAATGTATGCCTGTAGAATAACGAGTTAAGAAATTATATTAGCTTTTTTTTTGCACTTGGATTGATAATATATTAATACACTTTGTAAATCTGCAAAATTTTATTAAATATAATTTTGTTTTAATTTTACAAGAGATAATAATAACAATAATAATAAAGTTTTCTTACGACAAACAGAAATTTCAAAGATGGAGAAGCGGCAAACACTTGATGATGTTCGCACACTTATCCTGTCCTTACTGATCTCTCGGAAAGATCCCTTATCTGTTGCTCGTCTAGACAGGGATTATTATGAACAAGAGAAAACTCGTATACCGTATCGTCAATTTGGTTTTGCCACCTTACTAGAATTTCTTCAAAGTATGCCGGATCAGTTCAAGATTGAGCAGTATAATGGTAGTCACTATGTACGCGGGATTGCGTCGGACAAGAGTAAGCACGTGAGTTCGCTGGTGGCGCGACAGAAGCGACCGACGAACGCGAGAAATCCACCCCGATTTCTTCCACCTCATTTACGTCAGTCTTCGTCATCTACATTCAATCGCCATCCCCAGCATACAAGGCATCAGCCAGTTATAATCTCACATGACAAGTTACTTCTTCTTGTACAATATATCCAGAGCAATCCAAATGGCGTGGGTATGGACAGAGCTGTGAAATTTGCACAGAAGCTAGTGCCATATACCAATCTGTCTGAACAAGATTTGCGGGCTCAGCTGCGCGAGCTGCCGCATCAAGTGCACCTGCAAGGTAGCATGGTATATCCGGCCCAGAATAATGATCTGCAGGATAGCGCAGCCTATTCGCAGCCCATGAAAGTGCCTGTGAGGGAAGAGCCACAATCGTGGAACAAGCCAGAGTCATCGAGCGATGTAGCATCGCCTCTGAACGCGCAGAATGTATTTGTCGCCGGAGAGGAGGACCAGGATTGGATAGAATGTTCCAGCGATGAAAATGATTTCATACCAGCCGGTTGTAATCCCGGTAGCAATTATAAGAAACGTGTAAAAACGAGCGAGCTGCTTGAAACGAATATTGCGCAGCATATGAAATATGAGCAAACTGACATGTACAAGCTGAAGAACAATTTGGAAAATGGAGACGACATGTACAAGGCCAAAAACGATTTAGAAGACGACGACTACAGTATCACGATAAATAGCAGTAAGAGCAACACAGGAACGAAAGATATCAAACTCCTTGATTTATCCGAGATAATTAGCGACAGAACAAAGCTTCGATTGGAGAAATTACTGGAAAAACATCCGGACGGTATCTGGTGTGCCGATCTGCCTGATATATACCTTAACGAGTACAAGGTGCCCTTAAGTTACACGGACCTTGGCTTTACGAGTGTGCGCGAATTCACGTCTCACCTGCCGAAAATTTTCTACATGACACAAGTCCATAAAACCTCTGACTTTTTGTTATATAGCGCGGATAAGAGGCCAGTAGTTCCGAAAACAGATTCTATTGACATAGCACAAGCTTCGAATACGCATACGCTTCACAACAAATACGACGAGCACAGTTCAGATATGCAAGCACATTGTAGAAATGCTGAAGATGACCCAATCCCGTCGGAAGTTGTACGTAACAAATTTATTTACTGATAACATGTACACTTGTTTAATGATATTTTAGAATTAGCTCTAGAATTTTTTAGCAAAATATATATTCTCGTGGAACATACTGTACATTATTAACAGTAAAAACTAAATTAATACCAAAACTGTAAATGTCTTTTCATGGATATTACTATTAAGATCCCATGAAAAAAATATAAGCTAAGCGTCAATTCTTATTGTTTAATTTTTTTTCAAATAGAAATCTTGTATATTATTATACTTATAATTAAATACAAGGCTAAATTTATCTACAATTTTTACAATAATATATAAAAATGCAGTATTTGCTTTTTATATTTTCTGTATGTTAGTATAATTATTTCTTCTTTGTTGATGTATTCTAATGAATACAAAAAGGATGTTTATTATTTGTGATGCAGCAGATGATAATCCAATAATCATGATTTATATAATTTTACAGTCGCCTACCATTACCAGAAAATTCGCTCCCAACGATGTAATGAATTATGGTGATAAAGTAGGAAAAATATCAGTGACTGAATTACAACAGATTACATTACAACACAAAACGTTCTTAGAGGTATATGTTTGTGAAGTATTCAATCCAAGCTTTTTCTGGATACATCTTCGAAAAAACAAGATCCAATTTCAAAAGTTGATGAGTGACATACAGTAAGTACACGAGCAAGTTGACCAATCTCTGCAAATTTTGTTTATTAACGCTGATAGTAAAATATGAGTTGAAATTCTTCTTGTTTTCAGTGATTTTTACAGTGATGAGTCGAACCAAAGTTCATATACTATTGCAAAAATTGCCTTGAAAAAGGACTTGAATTGTGCCTGCATTTATTTGAATAATTGGCACCGAGGAATTATTAAGAGTGTAAAACCGGATTTCAGAATAACGGTTAGTACAACACATGATAAATTTCCGACAAGTAATTTCGTTAATTTTTAAGAATTATATTTTGATATATGCAATAATTAATTATCTTCGAAAACAGGTATTTTTTTATGATTTCGGTACTTTGAAGACATATGCGCCTGAGGAGGTATTCTATTTGCATAAAAAGTTTGCCTATTTGCCCGCTCAAGCAATACCTTGCAGCCTATATAATGTTAAACCAATTGTTGGTGATCGCTGGAAGAAAAGCGTATGCGGTCAATTTATTGATAAGATCTCTGAATCTCTTCTAGTTGCAAGCATAATTTCTGTTGATGCTGTGGTGAGATTATTTTCTCTATCTTTGAAAGTTAAAACATTAAAAATGTTTTTAATTCTTAAATTTATTTTATAATTAGTAGTATTCTTTTTTATAAGTATTTATTTCATATTTGTCTTCGTGGTTTGATATCTAACTGATTTGTTCATTTTTTTTTTTTTTTATTTAAATTTTGAGATTACAGGAACAATTAAAAATAAAATTTTACTTTTAAATCTCTACCATTAAATTATATTACTTAATATTATAGAATTGCAAAAATCTTATATAATTATCTGTATTTGATTTATTTTGACAGAACAACTCTATGGTGGTTGTTTTGACCGATACAACCGAAGAAGAGGATGTGCGTATAAACAATTGGTTAGTGAATGAGAGATTAGCGCAAGTTGGTCAAATGGTACGTATATATGGTATAACATATTTGAAACCTGATATTGACCTTGCGTCTGTCAGAATTTACACAAGAATACAGAAAGTTAATGTAGATGAACCGCGACACTGTAGAAATCAATCGATATCGCGCAATGAGAGAACGCTTAAATTATCCGATGTAAACAGCGAAGGTTCTCCTTCCACGCGCTTGCAAAATGTCTCGGCCAGCAAAAAACAACTTTTGCAGATGTTGCGGAATAGATTTGTAGATGCTAAATCTCCGTCTGCTGAATCCCCATCTGCTAAATCTTCATCTGCTAAGTCTTTGGATATTTCTACGTTTTCGGATACTAATTCGCTGAATGCACAATCGAGAAACTGTCCACAAAATCAGAAGTCGGAGACACCTACAAAATCTGCATTAGAAAAATTGAAAATGTCGAATCTCAATGAAAGATCCAATTCTGGTCTGAGCACTTCCATGTCCGAGGCAAGCATAGATAACGAAAGTAATTCAAGCGGGAAGATGAAATCACGCGCAAATGGGGAAAAAGGTTTCGTTTATATGAACTTCAGTCCAAGAGATTCCGACGATGAAATTGGAAAGAATGATTTTGGGGAATTCAGGAGTTTGTATGGCGGACGTGGGGACATGGGACATATCCCGTGGTCGGTAATAAGAGAGGAGAAAAATGTTTGTAACGGAACAACTGCTACGTTGCCTAATAATTTAGACAGGTCAATTGAAGAGCGTGAGAGCGACGTAGAAGATAGATTGCACAATCATAAGAGAAATGAGGTACCTGGTAAACAGTACTTTTTAAAAATGACTTCCATGGAAAAGGAAAATTTTATACCCGAGAATAACGTCGATTACGACGGCGAAAATACATCCGATTTTGTAGAAAGGCTGAAAGACAGTATGCGGAACAGTACGCCTAATCACACTATCACAGTGTGGTTTAGACAAAATCAAAAACTCAAGACACCGCATGATAATGACCAATCTGAACACACATCGAATTCTAATGCAAATATTGAGCTCAACGGCGTAGCTCCTTCGAGGGTGATGAATCGGAAAGTAGAAAGAAATGACACTGCGTGCAAAACAAAAGCTGATCGGAACATAATGAACGGAAATTCCAGTACGGATTCGGAGACAGCACTCCCTAACAATAAAGATAACTTAAATGGCGAAAAATCTGAAGGCAATTTGAACAGTTCCTTTGAGTCGACAGGTGACCGAGTAAATAATTCTAGATATAAGACGCTACTGGAGAAAATACGGCGGAGGCAGAAGGATTTGATGAACTCTAGTTTAGTTAACACAAGCAACTCTTCCAGCAGCGAGCAAATTCGATCGTCGTCTTGCAGTAACAATACCTCTACCGACACAATTATCTCATCAAATGACGAGCAATCTAAGGCATCTAACAAGACGGACACGAGTACTTGCAAGAAGTATAATCCAATTAAGGAGCTGGCAATATCTGACGACTTGTCTGACAAACAGACTGATTCAACATTAACTGAATTTAATAGTGATTCCAAAAAAACAAACGATCTTTTGCTCCTAGAAACAGATTTTACTGCTTCTAATATTGATGACACAAAGCAACGTCAATTGAATGAGTCCTTGGAAACTGATTCTATTGCTTCTAATGATGACACGAAACAACATCAGTCAAATCGGTCCTTGGATTCTATCGCTTCATGTAACGTTGATGGTTCGAACTCTCAAGTAACTGTGGTAAATCAGACGGTCAACGTTCCGAAATTAATGCAAGAGATGTTAAAACAACAGATATTTAAGATGGCGCAAAATATAAGGAGTAACACTGAATTGGATTCTGACGACTTAACGTCCAGTCAAGAAAGTCTTATAAATGACAAAAGTGACGAAAGTAAGGGGGATGATGAATTGGATTGCATGTCCAAAACGTGCAAATCGATGAGTGATGACGCGAATGTGACCGAGATAGCAGTTGCTCCGCCGGTCTTTAATGACTGTAATGTAGAATCTGACGACTGTACATGGGATGCAGGCTCTATTAACCTTAATTCTGATTAATGTCGTACAACCGCTTGAATAAGCAACGCAAATTACTGAACAATAAACTCGAAAATTTGAAGTTATGTCATGAGGGAAATTTTTTTTTGATAAATTATATAAATGAGCAGCCTTTTTTTTTTAATTAAAAAAATGCATTTAATATCATATGTGATTTGATATCATAATTATTATACATATAATAATTATAATCACATAAATCAAAATGTGATTATTTTATAACTTTAAATGATATATAATTATTACCAATACAATTATATAATATATATTACAATACAATTATATAATATATATATAAATTATATTATATAACATAGAATTATACAATATATATTATTATATTGAATTATATTTTTTCTAATATAATTCTAAGATAATTTCTTATATACTTAAAATTAAAATGTTAATTATATAATTTTTTTATGGAATCAATTAATATATATGTGTCTGGGTAACTATTTTGCGATTATATAGTGTTAGTATTAGGACATTAATTTAATTCTGGGAAAAATTTGAACCTTATGTGTGGTGTTATGTGTATTTGTTATTATGGTTGTCATTCTATACACACATGTTGTAATAAAAACTGGAATGTGCAAAAGTATGCGTGTAAAATTATTATACTAGTCGGTATAGTAACACGATCTCATAAAGTGATAATTTTTCCCGAATTCTTATGGCCTAATCCAATCGATCATTATTTCGAGCTTATTCGGAGATTGATTAATATTCGAGTAATCACTTTTTTATTTTCTAAAATTTATCATTTTATTATGATTTTATCAGATCTATCACTTTATCTGATCCTTTCCCTTTTGCTTTCGTCACTCAGGCTGATGCCGTCGACATGGCGAGTATAATGAAGTATGTGGTAAACATTTCGAACCAATTACCGACGTATTGCTTTGCGGAGGAGAGCCTGATGCCAGACAACTGCTACAAAGCAACATCGACAGAGGAGAAACACGAGGTACCTTTAGTTCCACCTGGATCGACGACGTCTGTACATCATGATAATCAACAACAGCCGATGAGACCGCCGACGATGCCTGTGCATCATGATAATCAGTATCAGCAACAGCCGATGAGACCGGCTGCGACGCCTGTGCATCATGATAATCAGTATCAGCAACAGCCGATGAGACCGGCGGCGACGCCCGTGCATCATGATAATCAGTATCAGCAACAGCCGATGAGACCGGCGGCGACGCCTGTGCATCATGATAATCAGTATCAGCAACAGCCGATGAGACCGGCGGCGACGCCTGTGCATCATGATAATCAGTATCAGCAACAGCCGACGAGACCGCCGCCAGGTTTTTCGCCTCTCGGCGAACAGCGCATTCCGTCTGATGCGTCGCCAAAGAACTCCCAGAACGGCTGTTGCTTCGCGAGTGCGTCGAACGCGTCGGACGTGTCGAGCACGAGGATGTCAATCTTTGACGACGCGGAGGCGATGACAAATCCGTTTTTGGCGGACGAACAATACATGCCTAACGACCTTATAAAACAGTTCAACATGTCGATCTGGAATGACAGTAAGATGTTGCAGAGCGAGTTGACTGATATTCTCTGCGATCTACTGGAACATACGTCACTCTCGATCTTGAATCAGATGGAACTGAATAAAATCTTGAGGATTATCAAGAAGGTTTTGTTGACACGAAAAGAAAGTTATTCGGCCGAAAAAGCGAAAGCTTCGTCAACGTCCAATCTCGCGAGCGGAATGGCATCGAATGACGCGGGTTCGGCACAGAAGGCGTTTAATTTCAACAGCGAAACTGCCGCGAATCGGGAGTTTAATGCAAATACTTTCCCGACTTTAAATCCGTTTAACACAAACGGACCGTCGACCCAGAGTAACGCGTTTTCTCCTCAGAACAGTTCAGACGGTTTTACTTTTAGAAGCAACTGGAGTCAATCCGACGACCTTGGCTCGCGCATGCCAATGCCTCCCTCGGCAGCTACGACTTCCGTACCTTCGGCATTCATTAATCACACATCATCAGCCAACACCTTCCTTCCAAAGGCCAGTCAGAACGGTGAAAACGTTCCTCTGGCGACGCCGATATCTCCTACGCCAACGAACACCAATATCCCGAACAATCTCTCAGAATACCTGGACAGTGTGAACGCCCAGTTCGCCAATATGCTCAAAGACACAAATCCCTTCAAGCCTCCCGTGACTAACGCAACGCAGGTACCGGAGATGCAGAACGAGCGAACAGCTGGTAGCTACGACGCGGGCATCGCCCGATCGTCGTATCATCCGACCCAAAATCCACAGGGCACTTTGCAAACGGAAACCACGAATATGCACGCGAGGAGCAATTGCTTCACGCCCGCCGGTAACCAGGGACATGTCAGCGAAAATTATACTCCGAGAATGGTTTATGAGTCCGGGCCGGTGATGTATAACACGCAGAAGAAGCAAGCAGCAGACGCAAGTGTGAGACAAAACGCATGCAGTAGCAATAACGTTCAGAACGCTCAGAAGCCTTTCGAATTTGGACAATCCATCGGTAAGAGACCCGCATCGCGGGTTTCACAGCCTGTGAGCGCTACTCCGCAGCACAAAATGATGAGTAACAAGATGATGAGAGATAGCTTGCCGATCGACGAGACTTACGCTCGACCATCGGCATATTATGCGCAAAGTTCACAGCCAGTAGTAAATGGCGACTCGAATTATTATCAGCAAAACAGTAACGCGGATAATTTGCGACCTGCGCCGTCGCAAGGTTGGCGTCAAGTCGACGCTTCGGAACATTGGACCGATTCGAAATTTCAAAACAGCGTCCCTTCGTCGAGTCACAGCGAGAGCTCTACGTTTGTCAAATCGACTAGCTTGCCCCACCAAGATTGGAACTGTGATAAATCCGTACCTCGAGAGATGAATAAAGCGACCGATTTGAGCAATGCTTTCAACGTTAAAGAGGACCGCGACAAAGAGAGACTGATGGATATTTGCACAAATTCCTGGTACAACACCGAGAATGGATCTATTCAGAAGAGAAATCCTTTTGTGTTTCAAAAAATTGGTACGACCTTATTAAATATTTATTCAGCCTTTTATCTTTCGACATTGTGTGTGGAACCAATTGCTAATAATTGTTGTTTACAGATTCAGTTAAAGGCGTGACGTTTATATTTAATTTTGAACAGGACGGTTGGATGTTGACATCAGAGTTTGTAGATACCTTTACGAATTTCAAGTTGTACTCTCGCTTGTTGGCCACGGTAGAAATACTGAATATAAAAGTTGTTTTTAAAGAAATCCTGAGGTCTGAATATCCAGAACAATTTTTACAACTGGATAGGTAAATTTGAATATTTTTAATATTTACTTATTTTTAAAATATGAATTAAAATTTAATTTCCCGAAATTTTCTTATTAAAATATAAATTCCCGAAATGGGTTGCATTCCTTCTGTTTCGCTTCACTTTTAACGTAATTCAATCTCTTATAAAACCGAAGCATATATCGAAACGATGATCAGACCAGAAATCACGCCGATTATAGATGGATCTTTTTCACAATGGCCTAAAAGACATCTTAGCATTTGCAATATTTATAATAAAATATTACATTTTTGTAATAATTTTTTTACAGTATTTTAAGATGTTTAATAGCGTATTGAAGACCAATTTAATTTTTTAATTTTACTATTCCGGCTTTAGTTTATAATTGCGTTGTAGATCTGGTAATTAAGCCCGCAAATAACTTTAAATAAAGAAAGATGTATTTATTTAAATTATTTAGAATTCACATAGAAGTGTTATTTGTGCACCAAGATCTAACTTCAACCGTTACAAGCTTTTCTTTATTTAATTGTACTACATTATTATTATTATATTTTAAAAACATGATGTCTATAATTACATAAATACACATATTTTACTGTGTATTAAAATGTACAATATTATATGATTTCATTCATAATCTTTTTAATACTATTGTTTCTAATGCATATATTTTTATCATTTTTTAGATTTCCTCTAAATGTTCCTCGTGATTCTGAGAGGCGCATTATTTCTATTAGTTTGATCTCGTTGCAAAGCGCGATCGGATTATTGCACAAGCTGAAGATAATTTCACGTGAAGAAATAGACAATGCTTTTAAGATGAACGAGTTTTCGGACGGTTCTGTTCTACGTACTTTGTGGGTGAGTGCTGTATGAAATGAATGCGTTCTATAATAATCCTAAAACATTGGAACTTTTCAATGTTTTAAAAATGTGAAATAAGACAGATGTTAACATATATATATATATTCTCCTAAATAAAAAAATAATTCAAAAACTTCTCGTTATTAAAATGAGAAAGATTAGTATAAACATTGTATACATATTATAAATACCCTCTATACGAAAATATGAGACATATTAAATTTGTTTTATATATTTATTTTTTTGTTTTAGACTTTGATCGTCTCTTACCGCGACTTGAAACGACATATTGAACTATGTTCAAATTAAATGTAAATGTTTGGGAGAGATATATACATATGTAGATTATACAACTTTTGTTTCGATGGGCCAATGAACTATAATTTCATGATTTTGTAATTTGTTCGACTGATATCTAGTATGATTGCTATTGGCCAGTGATATGTGATGCCATTACGATAACGTTTTTTTTTTTTATAAGAAATTACTATTATAAACAACGTCAGTACATAGTAGTGCATAAGTATGTAAGTTTTATTTTTATTTTTTTTTTACGTTTATATAACGAGAATAAATATAATGAGAACGATTTATGTTTTACCTCTAAGCTACTTTGAATTCTGTACTGTAAATTGTAATGGTGATTGTTACAAGATACGAGAAGAATATATCAAATGTATTAGCGATGAGCAAAAGTATGTCTGGTTCAGATGTTGTGAGTAGAACTGCAAGCTTTTTTTTTTGCGTCTCGCTATACTTTTTTCACCAGTAATTGGCCGATCGTTAACAACTAGATGAAAGACTCAGTGCACAAGATCAGTTCAATTTTGCTGCATTAGAACAGACATGTTTGCTCTCAATTGTGCCTAGTCGGTTAGATTTTCTTTTATATTATTATTATTTTTAGTCATTCAACATATATATGCAATTCTTTAATTAAACAAGTTACCATTTTTGTTTACTGATTAAGTATAGCCTTAAGTGATAATATGATTGAGAGATATTTTTGTAATTTTTATATTGTGACGTAAGAATATAATGAACGTAAGTTACCATATTTGGTCAACAAAGAGATAAAATATGTCTCTGTTAAAATATATCTCATTTAAAAAAAGATGTGATTACTGTGCTACCTTTATTAAATATCCCGAGCATCAAGGTTTTTATCAAGTGTTTTTTTTTTCCAGAAAAAAAATAGAAATAGAAAAAATGTCAATATTTACCAAGCTTACATTTTTCTTAATTACTGTTTCCTTAAGATTTATATAAATGGATGTTATTGCACGTTGTATTTCATATTTTTTATATAAATAATTAAATTTTATATGAAATTTTATATGAATAATTAAATATTAAACATTACAGAGAAACGATTATATTCTAAATAATATATAAGAATATTTTGATCATAAATAATGTCGATAGAAACGATTATAGTAAATATAAGATAAATTATAAATGATAAGATGAAACATATATGCTATTATTATAGAGAAAGTCAATATTAAATCATAATTCTATATCTCGTGGAAAGATTGACGAAAGAAAGCTCGGAAGTTAAGAAATTTCGCTGAAATTCCTGAAATTTGAAGTTGATTTGCGAGCAATATTTATGTTTATTATACACCTTAAAAAGTTCTCGGCGAAAATTTTTTTTAAAGACAGTAAGTTCGAGATATTTCGCGATATCTTATTCTCGAGATATCTTCAACATGTCCAGCAGACGAAATGTGACCGAGACACAGCGGCACGTGGCGGTCAAGATTTAAACTATTTGCGGTCAAGCCGGCACGGCACGCTGCATGAGCAAAGGACTGTTGGAGACGTTGGAATTGATTCGACACCGTTACGATCTTTCTATAGAATTTTCGCGTTTGAAATTGGACTTTCCATTGTGAAGAAATGGCCGACGGTAGAGAGAAACTCATAAATTTCGCGAAGCACTTCAACAGTCAAATGTACAGTCGGACGAACGTGAGTGATTTAACCTCAAAACTGTCGACGACGTTTATTCAAGAGATACCTCAATGCAATGTAAATAATTCCCTTGACTCTACCACAAACGGCCAAGTACATAATTCTAGATACAAAACGCTACTGGACAGAATAAAGCGTAGGCAGATGGATTCGACGAACCCCAGTTCAGTCGTCACAAGCAACCACCTCAACGTCGGGCAAATTCGATCGTCGTCTTACAGTTGCAACACCTCCGATGACACCGTTACCTCGTCAAACGGCGAAGAATCTAAGGTATTTAACGGAATTGACACGAATACTTGCAAGGAGTGTTTGGACCCAGTTGAGGAGCTGGCAACATTTGATGACTTGTCTAAAAAACTGAGTGATTCGACGTTAGTTGAATCACACAGCGATTGCGGAAAAGCAAACGATCTTTCATCCGTGGAAACAGATTTTACCGCTTCTTCTAATGTCGATGACACGAAGCAACGTCGGTTGTATAAGTTCTTGAAAACTGATCCTATTACTTCTAATGTTGACACAAAACAACATCAGTTAAGTCAGTCCTCGAATTCTATCGCTCCGTCGTGTGACGTTGACAGCTTGAACTCTCAAGTGACTATGATTAATCGGACGGTCGACATTCCGAAACTAAAGCAACAGATGTTAAAGATGAATATGAGAAGTGACGCTGAATTAGATTCTGATGACTTCAGTTCTAGTAAAGAAAGTCTTAATGATGATAAAAGTGACGAAAGTAAAAAGAACGATAAATTGGATTGCATGTGCAAATCGATGAATGATGAAGCAAATGTGACCAATAAGATTACTATATCGATGCCAGTCTTCGATTGCAGTGTTGAAGTATCTGATGAGGATGATTGGGATTATTATGCCGGACCCACTGAGGATGGTTGGGGTTTTAAATTCAGCACAACCTGAATAAGCAACGCAAATTACTGGACAATAAATTTGAAAGTTTAAAGTTATGTCACAAGAGAAAATTTTTTAAATTATATAAATAGGCAGCTTTTTTTTTTTTTTTTTAACATGCGTTTGTGTGATTTGATATCATAATTATTATGTAGTAATTATAAACCATATAATTCAAAATTATAATAATATATAATTGCATCGTTATATAATTATTAATAGTACAACTATACATAGTAATGGTGTTATATAATGATACAATTATATAATCTATTATTATAATTTTGAATTATATTGTTTATTGAATTGTTTTGAATTATATTTCTAATATGATTTTAATATAATTATAATATTAATAATTACATAATTCGTTCTTGGCAGACCAACAGTTTCTAATGACATCATCAAACAGTTTTTACATGTTGATCTTGTTATAAGACGTTGCAAATCGAGTTGACTGATAATCTCTATGATCTACTGAAACATTCGTCACTCCAGTCAAGGATCAGAATCAATTGAATAAAATCTTGAGGATTATTTAAAAGATTTTATTAGAACAAAAAGACAATCACTTCAAGTTTTCAATTTCCACTGAAAACTTCGTGAAGACTCCGACAACGTCCAATCTTGCGAGAGGAATAACGTCGAATAGGTTCGACACAGAAGGCGTCGTATATTTTAACAGCGAAACTGCCACGAATCGGAAATTGAATGGAAATACTTTCCCGATATCAAATCCATTTGGCATAAACACCGGCGACAGACTGTGGTAGAGTAACGTGTTTTCTGCTTACAGTTCAGATAGTTTTACTTTTAAAAGCTGGAGTCAATCCGACGAGCTTAGTCCGCGCATGCAAATTACGATGCGGGTGTCGCCCGACCGTCATATCATCCAAACAAAAATCCGAACAAAAATCCACAAGGCAATACTTTAAAACAAACAAGAACTACGAATATTGACGCGAGGAGCAATTCTTTTACTGTCGAGTCACCTGGGACATGTCTCGAAAATTACATTTCGAAAATGCTTTATGAATCCGGACTGATAATGTATAATACGCAGAAGAGGCAAGCAGTCGTAGATGTAAAATGCAATACAAAATGTATGTAGTAGCAATAACATTGAAACACAATTTCTCGAATTTGGACAATGCGGATAAGAAATTTGCAAATTTGCGAGTTTCACAACCTGCGAGCGCCACTTCGCAGCACAAAGTGATAACTCGCAAGATAATGGGAGATAACTTGCAAATCGACGAGATTTATGCCCGACCATCGACACATTATATGCAAAATTCACAGCTAATAATAAATGGCGAACTTATTATCAGCAAAACAGTAACGCGGATAATTTGCGACCTGCGCCGTCGCCAGGTTGGCATCAAATCGATGCCCTCTACGGGAGGCTTGGGTTTGCAAAACACTGAGATACAAGTCTAGACTTCTGGCCTCGTTGGGAAATCCAGAAACACCAAAGAAACCGTGGTACCTGAAATTCTTTGAATCTGAAATCAATAGAAAAAGAAGAAGAAGAAGAAGAAAAAGAGAAACTGATGATACAGAAAATTTGAACAACTCGAAGTTTCAAAACAGCGTTCCTTCGTCGAGTCACAGCGAAAGCGCTACATTTGTCATTTCGTCTGGCTTAGCACCAAGATTGTAACTGTGATAACGACCGACAATCCACGTTCCGAGAGAGATGAATAAAGCGACAGATTTGAGCTATGTTTTCAAAGTTAAAGAGGATTGCAACAAAGAGAAATCGTTAGATATCTACTCGAATTCCTGGTACAACCTGGTACAACATCGAGAATAGATCCGTTTAGAACAGAAATGCGGCTTGTAACATCAATTCTTCTGTTTTTGAAAAAATTGGTACGATCTTATTAAATATTTAGTATATTTATTCAACCTTTTATCTTTCGACATTATGTGTAGAGAACTAATTACTAATAATTGTTGTTACAGATTCAGTTAAAGGTGACGTTTATATTCAACTTTGAATAGGATGTTGACATCAAAGTTCCTGGAAGCCTTTACGAATCTCAAATTGTACTCTCGCTTGTTGGCCACGATAGAAATACCGAATATAAGTTGTTTTCAAAGAAATCCTGAGGAATATCCAGAACAATTTTTACAACTGGATAGGTAAATTTGAATATTTTAAAATTTATACCATTTACACAATTATCATTTTTAATCTTATTAAAATATAAATTTCCGAAATGGGTTACATTCCTCATACTTTTTCACTTCACTTTCAACGTAGTCAACCTCTTATAAAACCGAAGTATATATCGAAACGATGATCAGACCAGAAATCGCGCAGATTATAAATGGATCTTTTTCACAATGGCCTAAAAGACATCTTAGCATTTGCAATATTTATAATAAAATATTACATTTTTGTAATAGTTTTTTTTACAGTATTTTAAGATGCTTAATAGCATTATATTGAAGATCAATTTAGTTTTACTATCTCGGCTTCAGTTTGATTGCGTTGAAAGCATTGCGACAATTCGGCCCTCAAATAACTTTAAGTAAAGAAAGATGTTGATTTATTTAGATTATTTAGAATTCATATAGAAATAGCATCAACATTCTGCCTTAACCGTTAAAGGCTTTTCTTTATTTAATTGTATTACATTATTATTATGTTTTAAAAATGATGTCTGCTATCACCTTTCCTGTATTACTCGGCCTTATTGCATATCTCATTGTCAGAGCTAGCAATCTAGGGTATTCTATAGAAATCTGCTAAAACATAAATGTTTATATAGCTTTTACTTTGATGAACAAATGAACTGTCATTTCATAATCTTGTAACTTGTTCGACTGATATTTAATGTAATTACTATTGACAAGTGATATATGATATGGGATATCATTATGATAACGTTTTTTTTTATAAAAAATTATTATAAGCAATTATAGTATATAACAGTGTAGAAGTATGTAAGAAGTATGTATTTACTTTTTTCTTTTTGATGTTTATACATAACGCGAACAAATTGTAATGCTGATTGTTACAAGATATGAAAAGAATATGTCGATTGTATCAGCGGTGAGCAAAAAAATGTCTGGTTTAGGTGTCGTGAGTAGAACTGCAAGCTTTTTTTGCGTCTTACTATTTTTTTTTACCAGTAATTGGCCGATAATTAACAATTAGATGAAAACTCAGCGCACAGTTCAGTTCAATCTTGCTGCATTAAAACAGGCATTTTGTTCTCGATTGTGCTTATTTGATTATATTTTCATTTATCTGAATATTATTTTTAGTCAGTCAGCATATATGTGATCCTTTAATTTAACAAGTTATCATTTTTGCTAAATGATTAAGTATAGCTCTAAATGATAATAATTGGGAAATATTTTTGTAATTTTCAATATAAAAAACACAAGGTTTACCATTATTTAATATTAATAAAGAGCTAAATAAAAGAAAGATGCTTACTTAATCATATATCCTAATCATCACGGTTTTTATCAAGTGTTTTTTTTTTTGGAAATAAAAAAAATATAAAAATTTACCAAGCTTAAATTACTGTTTTCTTAAGATTTGAGTAAATGGATGTTATTGCGCGTTATACTATTCCATATAAAAATAATTAAATTTTATATCAAATTGGAGACAAACGATTATATCGTAATTATACGTAAATAATAGTACGTAAGTACAAGGACATTTTCATCATAAATAATGTTACTATAAATGATTATGTTTACGATAAGTGATAGTAAATATAAGATAAATTATAAATGATAAGATGAAACATGTGGTATTAGCATAGAGAAAGTTAAGATTGAAGGAAGACAATATTAAATCATAATTTCATATTTATACATCATAGAGAAATTGACGAGAAATCTTGCCGAACAAAATCCTTGAAATTTGGAGTTGACTTTTACGAGCAATATTTATTTATATATTAGAAAATTCTCTCGCGACTGCTTGCGACGAAATTTTTTTCAAAGTTCGAGATATCTCGCAATATCTTATTCTCGACGCAACTTCAACATGGCGGCCGTCCAGCAGACGATCGTGATCGAGACAGCGAGAGTGAGTGGTTCACGGTGGTTCGCGGCGGCACGACATTGTTTCGCGATCTTTCTGTAGAATTTTCGCGTTTGATAATTGAACTTTCCATTGCCGAAAAAATGGTCGAGGAAGAGAAACTTAAAGGTCTCGCGAGACACTTCAACAGCCAAACCAACTATGGTCGGGCGAACGTGAGTGATTTAACCTCAAAATATTGTCGACTACGTTTGTCTACGAGGGTCTCGACGAGCCTCCTTTATTTATCTGCGAATGGATCCCCGAGTGTCCGATTTATTTTCCAGGTGACGAAGGCGACGTACGTCGGCTTAGGATTGATCGGCATGTACTTCTACTTGAGGTCGAAGAGCAAAAAGACGGAGCAGAAGTAGCTTGTGGACGGGGACCGCAGTTGCATTATGTAATAAACGATACATATGCCGTATCATATTCTTCGAATAAATATAGTCGAAAGATCCTTTTGTAAATCTATCTCATTCTTGGTGCTCCAGTTGGTATCTTTACTTAACTGTCTAATGATCACAGATAACTAATTGCTAAACGTAACATGTGACATCTAACAGTTGCACTTGGTTACGAAAAAGTTTCACATTCGTTGCTTATTTTACTTAATTATCTTAATAGAAAAATTAGATAAAACACAATGCTGAGAAAGAAAAGATGCTTAAACTGAGTACATTTTAATTCTCATCGCACATTTGAAATATTTCAATATATATCACTCTGCTCTTGTAACACTTTGGAAGCTGTGATCTATTAATTTCATGCCTTGTTTAATGGTATTGAAGGGGATACAGATAATTTAGAGGACTCAAGTAATTGTTGGCATTATAAACGTAGAGGCTTTGTAATCATTGTTCTCCATCATTGGGATTTCAATCTTGTATGGATTAACATCTTGTTACAAGGGATTGAATGATTGTAACACATGCATTGATTGTGCGAATTTATTTTATGTACAATAAAATTGATTTAAAACATTCGAGTGGTAAAGAGGACGTATGTTTACACGTGTGGCGAAATGTGTTTCTAGCTGCGTTAGCTTATAAAGAGAGCTACTAGAGAGCTATGTGAAGTTACACAAATATGCTTTGGCAGCAATGGAATAGAGGTATTGGCTGGAATAGAAGCTTAATTCGAAGATTACGATTTCCTTGCAATAAAAGAAAATTATATGTGTCATAAATATTCATAAATATGTCTCAGTTTTGATTTAAGTGCTATGTATTTCAATTTTCAGTTATTTTATTAGATATGTAGAGAGAAAAAAAATATAAGGGCACATTTTAATAATTTTTAAATTAAATTTTGGAATAAATTTTACATTAATGTCTTTCATCTTATTTAATTAAAAGTAGTGCTGCTTTTGTCAGCCATGTTATTCATACTATTATTTGATGAGATTCCTATATTATATTTACAAGAGTGTCGAGACAGCAGTAGGCTAATGATAAACAGCGAGATGAACCATAGCATTATGTACAGATCGTCGTTGCGTGTATTAAGTATATGAGTATACATATTTATAATGGGCTCGCGAATAGAAATTCCGTGACTAGAATGGCGAATCTCTTTTATCGTAATAATTACGAGAGCGTTTTGTTTCCCTCTGTACTTAAATCTAATTCCTTCCCCTCTTCCTATAGCAAGATTATGTACGGAAATTGTTAAGGTAAATTTAAACTTACATTATCTTATCCGGTATTTTATTTCTAATATAGTTATCCGAAAACTGAATTATGAATTGGACAGTCTAGCTGACGTTTATTGGTATTCTCTTCTCGAATAAACAACATCATATACAAGCTGTAAATAAATAACATTTGCAGCAGGGGAAAGGAGAAGTATTTAAAGTCTATGTAGGTATTAAATTCGATAGATAGAAATATATTTACAATTTTTATATTAATGTCTAGTTTTTAACGATTCTCTATTTTGAAAATGTATCTATATATTTGCTCGCGTTTATGTGACGAACATAATTTTTCTTTTCAGTGCGAATATTATATTGCACACTATTCGTGAGATTTAGAAGACTAACACTTATTTATTTGAGTTTATATTTTGAGTATTTGGCCAAGTCTATAGTCACGGCGGTTCTCAGCGTATCCATTCTTTACATTCTATTTTAATATCGTTCTTTTAAATCTATACACACTAATAAAACGGAAATATGTACAGTATATGTATATATTTTTATTTTTCGTTTTGTGAAAATAAATTTAAAAAAATACTGTCAGTTTACCGTAAGAAAATATAGGAAATTTATTTTATTTTTCATTATTAACTTCAATTTTAGCCATCTAAATATTCTAAATCATTCTAAATATCAAACTGTATGCTTAAAAAATATCTGAAAAATTATGAAACCTTTGTGAATGAAATTGTGTCTTCTTTAAAGTAGAATTAGAAGAAGCGATTTTTTCGATCTCATAATTCCAGTATAATCGGAACAGGAAATCTTTTCTCGTCAGTTGACGTGCACGATTGAGGTTGATCAGTATGCAAGTTTCAAGGAGCAATAGTTCAAGAATGCAAGCTATACCAGATTCACACATTCTCTACAGTCAGGACAAAAGTCCTCCCCCAAGGGAATGTCGCACTATTGGGTTCTGTACTTCTGACTTTGAAATTCGATTTATTTTCTCCGGAGAGCTTAGTACGTGACTGACATGCCGGAAGTTCGCGAAACCTTCTCGGTCCGAGTTAGCGGATTACTTTTTATAAATTTTTTTCAAGGTCACATTGCAGAAGTGTAATATTTCTCCAGTGAAGCTTAACTAGAACTTCTAGAAAGCTTTTTGTTAGCCCACCTTGCTTATAAGATTTTTTATCGTGTTCATTTAAATTTTGAGTTTTTGCGTCACGTACAAAGGGTGCTTAGAAAGGACGTGCTTTTAAGAACTGGTTAGAAGAATTAAATTAAATGAAAATGGAATTACGGCAAGACACGATTTAGACACGAATATTGCAAAACTGAAAATTAAAGAATTTTACTGAATTACAATAAAAAAAAATTGAAATCTAGTTCTTTGATTGATTTTGATTTAAATTTTGTACCTTTTTTCAAACAAATTTTTTTGCATGGCCGGAGAGAATAAAATACTGTACAGCTTCAAGCAAATACTTGTTAGATGCTTTCGTTTTAAATTTTTATCAAAAGTATAGTCTATTTGTATTACGTTTGATGTGAAACAGCTATATAAATTATTTCTTTTTGTTTTTTTTTGTTTCAACAATTAAGGCAAGATAAGATTTAATGTCGGTCTAATATAATTTGATAGAGATTCTCGTGAGAGGCGCGTTTATCCTTATTTTAATAAATATATTTACATATATCTTTATATATATATATACGCAACATTTTTTAAAATTTGTTATATATTTATATAATACAATCTTTTAATTGTCAAAATATTTAATTTACTAAAAATTAAAAACTTGTGATAGATATAATCCAAGATTTTTGAAAAGAAAGTTTTTCAAGCTTCTCTATGAGAAAAATATTTTATTTCTAATAAAATTTAGAATTGTAATACGTACTTTTGTTTTTTTAATTATTGTTTCTACTGCGAGTTTAAGGATTCACTATCAATTTTGATTGGGCAAACTTGGTATACTTAACGCCTTTTCACGAAAAAGGGAAATCTCTTATTGCTTAATCTATATCGTATCAATTTATACTTAATCCATTAATTTATATTACTCTATCAAGCCAATGTCGCTGTACGCTTCTTTGATGGACAGTGAGAAAACTCGTAATGACGGAAACACTACGAACGATTAGCGTAATCAACTGCTTAACGTAATCGACTGCTTAAAGTATTCGAAACGGCGACACTAGGACTTAGCGTCAGTTTTTTTTTCTTTAACATACATTCGACTAGATCGTCTTGAAGCAAGAGATGGAATTTTCGGAGAATCGCTTGAAAGATCATTGTTGCAAGAGACTTTGGTCTTTCTGAGCTCTTTCACGGACAGGAAATGCGAAAACTGTTATCGTTAACGATTCTTTTCCTTTATATCGAAGCCATGCGCCATCCCCGTAGGATTACAACGTCCGAGCGTGAGGATTGGACCGAGCTATTCCCGAGAGTACAATAATATCGATTGTCCATTGCAACGCTGAATCGTCCCGTCTTATCCTCACGTCTCTCTATCCCTTCTGACGTCCCGGACACTCGAAACTGTTAAGGTAACTGCGAGAACGTATATGTGGAAAATGTTAAATATCGGTTATTCGTTGCGTCGATCGTTGATTATTTTTCTATTTTCGTTTTTATTCTCTCCTTCCTGGTTTGCGGATTGTCTTAATATCCGGCTAGGAATTTTCAGCAGAATTTCTGTTTGAATAGTAGAAATAAAGAATAATCGTATCGGTTGTCTATTACGGTATAAAGTAGACTATTTGTTCGTTTTGCTTCTTCCGAATGCCTTCTTGCTCCAATTTCGACTAGATGATGTCCTAAATAATCTAGGAAAAGTATTAGATAACGCTGATTATCTTTTACATCGCTTTGGTCCTTTTGACATCCATTTGACAGTTTAATATCATTCTTGGATCATTCATCAAACAATAAAACGCAGCGAACGCGATTATGTATCATACATTACAACGTGAAGGTATCATTCTTCTTCCGTTAGTTCTGACCAACCAAAGACTCCGGCAACCGATTGAGACACACAGTTGATTTTTCGCAAGACAGATGTAACAGATATAAAAAGACTGACATTTGTTGTCCATTGGAATTATCATTCTACATTTTTTTTTTCACTACTTCTAATCAATGGAAGTTCTTGACATTGATTAAAACACTCAGCAGACTTCTAATTGCATAATAAACGCGAAGAACAGTTGTTGCTGTCCATATTACAGTGTGGAATCGCCATTCTCCCTCCTGTTCCAGCTGTTGCGGCCGTTCGACGCTCTTGACATCTGACTGGGGCTCCTCGCTGGATTCTTGCCCGGATGATAAACCGGACAGGAACCGGGGCTGGCCGGCCTGCCGGTCTTCAGACTCTGTCTGGTACTGCCGTTGGACACGTGGATGTTGTTGTTCCAGCTGATGGTGTTGGCGCGATGGAGGTGGCTGTGCCTCACCGAGTTTCTCAGCTCAATATTCGTCGTGTTGGTGACGATCGACTCGTCGTACGTCTGGAACTCCGGACTGTCCCGGCCCTGCACGAACAGCCGGGACGAGCAGAAGAGCTTGAGGAATATCCTCTTGAACTTACGGCCGAAGATCACGTAGATGATAAAGTTGATGCTGCTGTTGATGGTCACCAGCAGATTGCCGATCTGCACCATCCACTGCGGCGGATCCGCGATGAACGTCTCGTGCGCGTTCGAGACCATGGGCATTATGTTGCAGATCAGGAACACGACCACCACGCACATCAGCATCGTCGCCAGGCCGATCTCGCGGCGCTGATGACGCGACAGCTGCTGCAGGTCCCTGTTCGCCTTTCTGACCTGGAAGCCGACATACGCCTAAAGATATTATAAGACATGAATCAGCATCTTCGTACTAGGAAATGAAATCTTTTGCTTCTCTATTTTTCCTCTATTTTATCGCACGAGTTTTCACGAAAGACATTAACTGACTTTAATTAATTTTTCATTTATAAGATAAGCAATTAAATTGGATTAGTTAATAATTGTATTTTATTTTATCAGGAAATCTAATATCTCATCACACAACGTAATTATACACTTATTACCGCTATAAAAAGATCATCCTTCTACACTTATTTTGCTTCAATAATAAATATTTTATCGTCTTTGATATGAAAACCTTACCGAAAGAAATATGTATTTAATAAGCGCCAATGGCATTCTCTTAACGAGGATTACTAGGTGGTATATTTACTCGTCTCGCGGTGCTAATAATACGGGATTGTATTATAAGTTTTGCGAGACGAGTAAATTTCGAGCAAACAGTTTTCTGTCGTTAAATTCCCGAGTGTCGTTCGATGATGTAATACACGATGACAACTATGGCATGACTCCCGAACAGCGTGAAAAAAAAGATCGATCGGCATCTTTGAAGGGATACGACTAATCACAGAGCTGACGAAGGATTTAATGAGTAGGTTCCTGGTTTTGTCGGGATATGACGAAAGAAGCAGTGCAATTTTCCGTGAAACAAGAAACCTCTGGAAAAAATGAGAAAAGAAACACGATAGTCATTAAAACGGCAAGATCAAATTTGTATTAGATGTATCAATATTTGTATTTTTTAAATATCGTTGGTATGAAGAGAAAATTGGAGTAATAAAAATCAGAGAAAATGTAATAAATATATTTATGTATAAATTAAACATAAACATATTTATTTTTAACAAATTAATAAATTAAGTATTATAAATTTTACAAAGGATCTTTTGTCAAATTTTAAAAATCCTTATAGAGTACCGTAATTGATTCAGACTGATTTGAAATTATTAGTTTAAAATTTATAATCAAATTTTACCGATATTTAATCTCTCAGATTAATTAATCTAATAAATGTTCTTTTTGTACAAAAATGAAACAGAGTTGGTGAAAGGTTTGGTATTGAAATTATAGTATAACGGCTCCCTCGCCACGCGATGTAAAAAATGGTAATAGTACCCTGGACATATTGTGCCATTATTTATTTTGTAGCGAATCACATATTATTTCGACACGAAGTTATGTGAAACACACATTGCGTTCCCCAGCGTGACGTATCTTTAATGTATCTGACATGCTTTTTGTGAATTTACGATCGTTTACAACAAAATAAAATATCTCGCGATAAAGTTACGAAAAATCAAACTTTATGTTTTTTCGATTTAGTCCCGAAAGGTCACTATGAAAGTTTCAAATGTGAAATGTGGAAAACATCGCTATTAAAAAAAAAAAAAAATATTAATTAAATTAAATCTTAGTTAAATCTTAATTAAGATAGTCATCCAATTGTAAAATTTATATTATATATTGGATATGAATAAATCGGAAGATGTCTTGAGAATATTATACAGAGCACAATTGTCTGCCTGACTTTAAGAGACTAAATGTTAATGGTATTTACGGAATGCAAAATTAAATTCAAAATATTGATATTATTGATTTCAAACAACGATATCGAGATCGCTGTTAAAACACAAATAATTGGCGATATCTAATATTTATTAGCCTATTTATATTCATATATCAATTATATTCACGACGACATGTAGAGGGAAGAAAGTTAATTTATTTATAATTGAATTATAAATTTTAATTTATTTGATTCGTATAAGTAAACCTATCCAGTGTACCTCTTCAATTTTTTTCAAATTTGGCATAAATGTAGAACTATGAAAAATATTTTACCCACATACATTTTGGTCCATATGCAGTTTTAAGGACAGTTATTACCACTTCAATTTCCATCCTTGTATTAGCTATAAACATAATAATAATTATATTCAATAAATTTAATACAAAATATGAGAGTTTCTTTGAATTGTTTACTATTACGAATATAAAATCGGATTTGCAAAATTATTCGCTTAAATATTATGTTATTATTATGTTTATATTATTATTATTATTTGTTGTTATGTTTATAGCTAATATGAGGGTAAAAATTGAAGTGATAATAAGTAACGACTGCCCTTGAAAAACCGTATATATGGGCCAAAATGAAAAGGCACGTGTAATATATTTGTGTTATGGTTCTATATCAAATTTGAAAGAAATCGGAGAGTTACACTTGAGTAGGTTTACTTATCATCCTTATGTCGTGATATAAGATGTCGCTATGTTTAGAAAGAAACCTTAGAACCTACTTCACAGTTTTGACATGAGTATCCGACATGGGTCTCTCTCCCTATAAGAGAACCTTCAATATATACCGATTGCCCCGTGTCTCGTGTCACTGGGGTGGAGTGTTACTCTACATTCGGGAGCATTCTCGTGCGATAATATTTGATCACTGTGGAAGATAAGGGCGAGGGGGGGGGAGAAGAGCCGTGTTCGATTCGCGCACAAAATTCCGAGCTTTTCGCCCGTCGCCTATATTTCACACGTTCGCAATCCACCTCGCCCAACGCTTGTTCCACCGCTTCCAAATTCGCCCACGCCGTGCTCGGGGAACGCGGTAAGAAAGCGCTGAATAGATGCCAGACAGGCCGCGATATTTTACTACCGAACCAAACGGGGCGGAACGGGAAAGAAGAACGCCTGGGATCTCGTGCACGGGAGTGATTAATCTCGGGGATTTCGGTTGTGGATCTTCGGGATTGCACAGTAGTTTCCCCCAAGAGAGACGGGACATACGGCGCGACTCATCCGAAATAATTACAAAGCTGCAAAGCTGATCGAAGAGTTGCAAGATAAAAACACAACAATTACGGGGGGAGGGGGAACGGGGAGGGGGGGGGAGCAGGAAAGGGAGTGTTTCAACGGAGCGCAGCTTTTGTATGACGATTGACGCAAAATGAGCAGGTGCACTGTTTATGACGCATGATTTATAAAGTGACGGAATTATACAGCTTGCGGAACGATCCCAATATGTTCATCATGTTCACAATGTATCCCAATACATCAAACATAGTTTAAACTAACCGGAAAGCTGTGCATGAAAGCATAATAATAGCATTAATTTGGGCACCAGAAATCGTTCGTCAAAATCGATAATGATTTATGTAGCAGTAATAGACGGAAGTAATTTCGAATTATACTATATATAATCCTCGCTGTCAAAGCACGTATAATGTTCATCGTAACATGTTGCCGATTCTCAGGAAACGGCCAAATTAATTCCAACCACCGTTGGAAGAACTAAAATAAGTAGTGTGGAAAAAGAAAAAGGATTCGCGAAGTAGCAAAGGAAAAAATTTCAAGTATTTTAAATAAATCCTCTATTTTTCAAATTAAAAATTTTGCACCATGAATTCTATTTACTGTCTATTTACTCGCGTGTTTTACGCATTCTTTTTGATCCTGCGGCTTCCGCTTTCGGAACGACGAGAGCGAGTTTACGTGCTAAAACAATTACGACGGTAAAGTGGCGGCGCTAATTATCGTTAAGACTTTGCGTCGCTTTGGCGAATTATTATGCGCGTCGCGTGTCGCCGAATTGCCTCGGATTACGGTATCCGGTTCACGCGGTATCGCTCTTTCGCGCAAATGTGTCCGCTTGTTAAGTAAATTATTAATGAAATTATTATATCCACGAATATATGTAGGTACGTATATACTCTGAAACAAAACGCGTAATGCGGTGCTCGTATCTCCTTGCAAATGTTGGGTCGTGTAATGTAAATAAAACGGGGCGAATGTCCTTAGCTGGCGGGAACGTAAGCGTTTATTTCAGCTCGTGTTTCTCGTCTCGTCGGGATGTTAAGTCACGCCTGTCACTCACGAAACGGATGACTGTGGGCTATCTTGATCTCGCAGGAATTTACTTTGAAACGTTGTCGAAGGAATATAGAGAACGCAATTTATTGGCGACGAATTATATTTTTCAGAAATGCATTAAGTCCGATTACCGAAATATGTTAACGTAAATGAGTGAGCGCTAAAACACTTTTTTACTTATTTCTCGAGAAACCATATTTCATCGAGATTCTTCCTTTGATCGACAAAGGCGAAAGCATGCTCTTCTTATTCTGTTCGCCGTTTTCTCGCTGGGAAAAGGAACATCAAGAGACTATAACCAGGAAGTAAGAATTTCAAGACGAGATTAAAAGGCTTCCTTCATTTGCCGCATGAGCATTCTCATCGGAAACGCGCTTTCGTCCGCGTGAAGTCCGTGGAAGTTGTCCCGCAGAATATGTCACTGAAAATCTCATTCTGATCCCGGAATTAAGGACAAAGTTTGCAGACCCTAAAGTTTCACGATAAGGGAAAGCTGAGGGAAATAGTTGTCCTTCGACAACTGGCGCTTTGTAATTTCAGATTCTCGCGGGTCGTGCAGATTTCAGTTCGAGCCTGCGGCTAAATCTTATCGCAAAGATATTATGATGCCCTGTTGTTATTTGAAAAAGCACATTATGGAAAAAAACGTACATATAATTCTTATTTTATAGAAATTTTAAAATTGCAAAAATATAAATCCTTATATTAATCTACATTAAGTTTTAGTTATTATATCAATTTATATATATATATATATATAT